TGGAGTAAATTATGAAAGCGTAGAGTTCGCACTAATTAAAATTAAATACACTGTTTCGCTAACAAGACGCGAACGCGGGAAAATTACGTGCTCTGCGAAATAGATGAGTTTCATTTTATTTAATGTATAGTAAGATGTTGCAATTATTTCATAGCATATTTACTACACCTAGATTAATCTGTACTAATAAAGCTGAAGAGTTTGCTTGTTTGAACGCGCTAATCTCTAGGGACTACAGGTTCGAATTAAAAAATGATTTCTGTATTAGAGCATTCATCGGAGAAGGCAATGATGACCTATAAAACATCGCGGTGTAAAGAAATAGCGGGAAATAGTTCGTTGTCGGCTTTCCAATACAATTTCAAATGAGCTTCGAAAACGGTTTAGAATACCAAAAAATATGTATGAAAGAATGATTCCTCTTTAATTAAATGATAAAAGAAAATGACTGCAATACTATAACGCCTATACAGACAGAGAGATGTCGTTAGTAACAGCTTAAATTTAAAAGATGAAGAGATTTTTAAAAACAAATTCGATGCCCAAAATAACTATTCTACGCGGACGAAGTTTCTGGAACAGCTAGTTTGACACATACGATTTTGAGTGAAGTTTTAATAAAACCGACGGCTTCGTTGCTCAGTTTTTAGCGCGTTACCCAGATGCCAAATTCGAGTCTGCGCAAATAAATACAGTATTGTTTGAGAACAGATGTTTTATTTAGCCTTTAAATTGATCTGTGACACGAAAGTCAGCTTTGTCCTTGTTTGGTAACATGACGCAGTTTCTTTATTATTTGTAAAAATAACATATTTTATGTAACTGTAACTATTAGTCAAGACAATTTTGAACACATTATGATTTGCAGAAATGTTTTATCGTGATTTGCATTTAATGTAAAGATAATACGACAAAAGTTATAGAATAATGTCTATTAGTTATTCGTTTAGAAGTTCTACTAAATAAAAAAACATATATTTTGTATACACTTACCATTTGCTAAAAAAATATTGTTACTTTATAATCGATATAATATCATTTGATATTTCTTCATTGCATTTTAACTCGTGACTACAATTAGTTCAAGGACTTATCTGACATACTATATACGCAAAGTATAGTCGTACATACATTTATTTTGCTTTAGTATCTACATTACGATAACAGGAAATAAAAAAAAGCGAGGCGGATTTTCACATAAATCTCACTATATAGAAGCAAAAATAGATAAAAAACTAACTGTCTGACAGCTTAATAGTAATAAGTCTTAGTTTAAGGCTGGTTGGGGAATAAATGTATTTATTTATTTACACTTTATCGCACAAAAATATAAACGAAAAATATATATTAAAAATATTGAGTGCAATGGGCGACCTTATCGCTAACAAGCAATCTCTTGCAGGCAACCCACAACAGAAATACGAATTTAAAATTTTATTTTAGCTGCCAAAACAATACGACACGGGAGGAACAATTACTAACTATGTATAGAATCTTTTTTTTTTCCGTTATTTCTTACGTTATTATATGTAATTTAATTTCTATTGCTTTTGTCTCATAGTAAATGAAGTGCTTGCTTTAATTGTTTAATTGTATTTGTCGTGCACTCCCTGAATGAATATTCTATACTTGTGTTAAAGTAATTTAATGCAGTCAGACTGATAAATAAATAAACATACGAAGGTTACAGAAGTTTTTATGCACTCGTAAAATAATAACTATATAACCACCTACAAATAATAAAAAATAATATATCTTCTCTAAATATGTATGTACTTAAAAAAGTCTTTTTTTAATTGATTTATACTCGTTATTATAAAGTTTTAAACAACGCTTTTAGCAAGTAATGAACTTTATTGTAAAAGATTGCCCATTGTCGGGTTTTTGTTTGTGAGCTTAAAACAAAATACCGAAAAGGTTTATTATTCCGACGCATCTGTAACTATCAGACGGTTTCTGACCTTTAAGATGAAAACAGAAGGATTAACATGTCACTTGAGAGATATTAAGTTCAAAGACTTTAGGGTAATTTCAATATTCAATTGTTTTTGCAAACAGACATTTGCATTCTTGGGATCTGAGTTCGAAGCACGGAGTACAGTTATTATTTGTTTCTATCGGATGGGGACAGAAAGCAAACTGACTCGTGTTTAATGCTTCATGCGTCTGACGGATTTCCCTCGAGGCTTAGTTACACAAAATCTAGGCTTTATTAGACGTTTCTGTCTTTAATTCGTTGCGACGATCTAACTGAATAATATTTGCCTGAATAGGTTGAGATTGTATTGTCTAGGGCACTTTATTGCTTTATTTCGGAAAAATTCGCATCTTCCACTGGGACAAAGAATATTATATTATTGTAAATAGCTCCTCGGGCTTGTTGGTATAATGGCAACAATGAATTGTGGGTTCGAACCCCAATATTTTTCAAAATCGATTTTAACATTTCCAACGTTTTTCTAATCACTTTATAATTTTTCTGCAAAATTTTGGACTTCGAAATCTGGAACTGGTCGTAGAAATATTAAAATTTGGCCCGGGTTACAAACAAACCGTCCACAGTTGAAAAAGTCGAAATGTTTAGTCTCATTTACCCGTGCGGTGTCTGCATTTTGAAATTTTTTTAAATACTGTCTATAATATACGCGAGTAGTACACATTTAAATAAAACAATTTAACGGTTTAAAACGCGATATATTAGTTAAACTTATTAGAAAATGATTTTTAACATCGGCCCGACGTTCCGGATGCTTTGCAGCAGCTGTGGTCACGGGGAGACGTCAAAGTGTTTTATTTAAAGGTTTTTAAATTATAATACTACCATTAATCAGAATGCGTATATGGTACTCGTATTTACCTTAACTCATATAAGATGTCTTGAGTGCTTGCAATACATCATTAAAATTACATTTACGATTCTCGGTATACTTAAAGGTCTTCCGAGGCGAATCAAAAAGGCCTACATAACGTCGGTCATAAAATAGGGCAGGTGAAAGAGATCTTAAGTACTATCTACATGGAATTGAAGGCTTCCGTTGTGAAGAAACCTTTCTGGTATAACTTAAAGAACAAAGTAATATCTCGATTGAAAATTTAATGAAACAAGTCCGAGTTTCATGACATCAATTAATGACAAATTAAGCTAATAGCTCTAAATTTTAAAATGCGATATCAACTCCAAAATCTTCGTCTAACAATCGATCAAATATTAAACTCGAACAACGAAACTTTTACGCTAGTACTTTAATCATTAATCAATTAAGTTTTCATTTTAATTAAATGATATCGTGCGAGAGACATGTGTGATAGCCGTAGTTAAATTGAATTTTAAAAATGTTAACTAATATAATTCGCGTTTTAAAACGTTAAAAGTGTTTTATGTTCATATGAGTACAGACAATTCTTTTTCAGAAGAGAGGTTTCATTGTTTACTTGATAGACCTTAGCTAGGTATATAACGTCTTAACAAGATATGCTGTCCGGTCAAGATATGACCTACTAGCTCTATATATTCGGAAATCCATAGACTGAAACCGAAACGCGATTAAACTTAACTGCTTTTTTACCGTAACGTCTTTTATTCGAAACCACCCATATAATATTATATATCACAATATCTGGACTTTCTAACACGTTTCAAAATGTTTTTACATTGATAAGAAACATGAAAACTTTATTATTTTTTACATGTTATTGCACATGAAGGCACTATATAGTTTAGGTAGCTCAATTGGTAGAGTAACAGCACGGAACGCTGACGATGCCGGTTCAAGTCCTGCCCGAGTCGAAAATTTATTTTCGATTTTTAAATGATAAGAAACATTAGATACTGTCTATAGTTTACGCGAGTAGTACACATTTAAATAAAACACTTTAACGGTTTAAAACGCGATATATTAGTTAAACTTATTTGACCTCCCCGTGACCACGGCTGCTGCAAAGCATCCGAAACGTCGGGCCGAACTTAAAAAGATCATTTTCAAATAAGTTTAACTAATATATCGCGTTTTAAACCGTTAAAGTGTTTTATTTAAATGATAAGAAACATGTTTGACCGCTCGAGCTAACCTACGACTCATTGATTACTAGCAATACACTGCTATCATAAAACCCTAAAATTTGAAGGCATATATAACTTTCCTATATTAATCAACAATTTACCATACTTGAGAATACGCTATAAGCGATCCATTAAATGTTCTTGACTCGGAAAATGTCAGGTGTTCCAACCGAATGAGTTCATCATGATAACATTGTATGTGTAACAAAGGTTATCTATATGTTATATGCATGTATCTACCAGGAACCACCAGAGGTTACAATTAATATTAACTACGGGGAAGTCAAAAGACGTATAATTAATGTTTTTCACAGTCTATGTATGTATGTTCCATTCTAGCGTTTAATATACTAAGCAATGAGTTCAAGATACAAGTTTATTGTAAGCTGTATTTTTTTTTCGCGTGTTATTGTTGGCATGATGGCACATGATGGCATTATATAATAAAATTTCAAACGAAATAAATAAAACCAGCGTTCCAAAGAGAAAACAAAGTAAATAAAAATAAAATAATATTAACTTTATTCTTTATAAAATTATAAAAAAAATATTTAGATTCGTCAAAAAAAAATTATTCTGTCCGTTCGTCGTGATTCTACAGACAACATAACCGAGAACACCCAAGAAACTCAGTCTGGATTTTTTCAACATGTCTTTAATCAATAATACGCCTTTTGAGACAATCTCAATTTTATGACATTTTTGAACTTATTTATTGATAAATTTGAAACCTCACTGTATTATACATACGAATACAGAGAGATATAGAGCAACAGCGGGGAACACTGTGGATGCCGGGTTGAGTACTGACCGCGTCGCATTTTAATTTTTGTAAGCTCATATAGTTTTGTGAAAGTTTTTTTTTTGTCTTGAGTGGAAAATTTACAAAAAAAGTATACAATTTAATAATAATTTGATAACTTGATAATAACCTTCAGTAATGGAGCCTGACGAGAAGAAGAAGAAGAAGATACATTTGCCTATTGGTCTAGCTGATATTTACTTCTTGCTTCTTTTTTGTCATGTTTTTCAGCGATAAAATATATTTGCATCTTATTATATAATGCCTTTACATAGTTTTATAAGTGTACACAGCTGCTATGATATGAATATTTTCAATAAAAAGCGCAGACAATAGTCTTCTTATGGTAGTAGTGGGTATTATGAAGCCTAGTGCACAAGACCGAAAGTAACCGCCTAAGTAGCTTAGTAGTTCTACGTTTTGACCAGGTTCAAACATAAGTGCACAGAGAAACAGGTAAGTATGATACATGAAGTGGTTTTCAGTAAACATACCTATAACTTGGACAGACTCGTTGGTCTATAGTAGCAATGTACAGATAACAATGAGTTTCTAATTTATTAAAAAAAACATATTGCACTATGCCTGGAATCTGGGTATTAAGTGGATCTTAGGAATATTAAACACTACGTCCGTGAAGAAAAATGTTAGATATAATCACGTTTCAATTTCAATCTGTAGATTTCCGAATATCCAAAGCCAAAATAGGTCGACAGCATGTCTTATTTAGATGGTATATAGCTGAGGTGTTTCACCTTCCATCAAGTGAAGAAGCTGGAACGTCCTCCTCAATAATAAAAAAAAAATAGGTAATTATGTAAATAAAAGTAAATATATAAACCTAAATTTACGTATATTAACATTCAGGTAAGCCACGATGTGAAGTAAAAAAGGGCCCCCCCGTTTCTTTTTTTTTTTTCGCCTTTTTTTTTTTTTTAAATTTTTTTTTAAAAAATTTTTTCCCCCCCTTTGGGGGTTTTTTTCCCCCCCCCCAAAAAAAAAAAAGGGAGAGAGAAAAAAAAAGATAATAAGGACTCGCCGAATAGAATTAGTTGTTCAGGTTTCACACACTTGTAATTAGTCAAAGTTATGTCAACGACCCGCGAGGTGTCCGGTAACAGACCTAATTCTGCTGCCTAAGGCCTGTCTTCACTGCTTGCGGTGAGATGCGCGGACAGGAGGGGTAAGCTATTGGTGGGAAGTACTTAGAGGGTGGAAGGTCGTTTTGGATACCTATTGTCTAGCTCAACCAAATCCAGTCCCGAAGTACGCAATAGCCCAACCAATGATAGTTCTTATCAATATTCACCCCGAAACACTTTTACTTGAAAAGGCAAGTTACACCACACTAAAGTAAAAATTAAAACAAAAAACAATCGTGGAGCTACTCAGAGTATATCAGCTTATGCTGTTGAACTAAAATACCGTTTTATTACAAGTCATCATTATTTTCGGTAATATTTGTTAAAACTAGGTGCTTGACATAACGTTAACTTTTAAAGGTCCCACCAAAATGTTAAATTACAGCCAAACATTTTGAATTTCTCCGCTATCTAAGAAATAGATATTTATTGCGTTTTGCCAGAATTTGAACCCAGAGCGCGATAGTTAATAAGCCTCGTGATCGTCATGGTGATCACGAGGGGATAATTCAAGCCTACATAATATTTGTACAAAGAAGGAACCCCAAGCCATAAATAAAAATATATGTGACCTTTCGTCCATAGTATGATCCCTTATTACAGCCACCCCAATAACGGAACTTATAAGTAAAAAGCCCTCTTCAATCCCCTCAAAGTTTTATATCTAGTTGAAAAGCTCGGAAATGAGAACCGAGATTGGATTTGCGAGATGCTCTACTTTTTTATTGGTTGTTCAGAACTTATGACTAAATACAAATTCTGGTAGTAAACAAAGTGAATGTGTATCGAATACTGATATTAATTAGAGTTTGTTTGTTCTGTTGAGCGGACTGACAATACAAACTAGTTATTGAAGGATTATTTGACAGTGGTTTTTTGAAAGGGGATAGGGATTTGATAGCATAATACCCTCTAAATATTGCTGTCGGCATCGGTTTTGATGGAATTTAAAAAAAAGTTGGTAACACAACAGAGGACGATTTCTTAAGTGAAAATTATACAAGGTAATAGAGAATCCGTCGATACAAACACGTAATGTTGCATAATGATGTTATCTCATAAAAAAAAAAATTGTTCTATGTTCCATAATTTATTAGAACGAACATACAATTTTCTATAACGTAATTGTGACCATTATATTACAAAATATAACGTAACCATATTTCGATAAATATTTTAATTAACTGTTGCTGCACTGTGTGGTGGTTATATCATAAAATAACGTGTTGTTTTTTACATAATTTAGAGAATTTACAAATATTTTATGTACGACTTATATAATATATGAGAAACAATGTATTACGTTATATTGTCAGGTATATTGCAGAAGCGTGGTCAAAGTAAAAATGTGAATCCTGTATAGTCTATAGTCTGTATTGTATATATTCTATACCATGGATATGGAACTTTTGTCTGGATTCAAATAACTCATTTTATTCTTTATTATGACACGCTTTGTATCCTATTATAAATAGCCGATTGCAACAGCCAAGTATGTTTTTAGTGTTTTATCCGACAAAATGCTTTACTTTTTAAAGTGGGAATTTTTCTACAGAATCTTAGTTAAAACATTGAAAACTAAATATTACCACATTTGGCAACAGTAAAACGGAGAGTCGTAGGTTTATAATAATAAAAAGACTTTGGTGATTTCAAATGTAATCAAAGTATTGAGGAAATGACCTTGTGAATTAGAATAAAACGCGGGAAAACGGAGCAAATTGTCACAACGATCAGTCGATTGAATGTCAACCTTACGGTGTACGATTAAAGGTTACTTTCGCTTAAGGTAACATTAACATCTAATTTTGTAGTAGGATACGGAATTTGCGAAGCACGCACGGCGTAAAAATAATGCTTTGATGCTCTTTTGTTTTTTGGTAAATATATTAGACAGTGCGCCACAACGCAATTTATTTTGGGAGAATAAAAGTTTATATAGGTATTTGACGGGCTCGTTGGTCTAATGGTAGCAATATATTGCTAAAAGTCAACGGGTCGTGGGTTTGACTCACGTCGGGTCCCACATGCTCCTAATTTTTCAATTTACAATTGTTTTGAAACATGTTGCACTACATCTGTAAATCTGAATATTGAATGGGTGGTAGGAATATGGAAATTCTATCCGAGCCACGAACCACCGTCCACTGATGAAAGGCCGTAAAGCTTAATCGCGTTTCGGTTCCAGTCTGTGGATTTCCGAATATCCAAAGCCAAAAATAGGTCAACACGTTTGGTTGTTATAGACCATCAAGTAAACCCCTTGTATGTCCCGCTCTATAATTAAAAAATATATATGTATATCTCAAAAGCATATATGTGTTTACCTGAATGAAAATTGATAAAGGACCTTTTATAATAATGGGGTAATACTTTTGGCGCTTCGCTATAGATGAGACCTAGTTTATCGAGTCTGATATGGATGAATGAAGGGTCACCATTACAATGTATAGGTCTCCAACCACAAATGGCCAGTTAATATTTTTGTAATGTATTCCTTACTCTTACTTACTTTCTTTTAAACATGTGAAATATAGACGAACACGTATATATATTTACACAGACATTTTACTCAACTTTTAAATCTATAAAAAGATTGTAAGTTTTATTAATTTAAACCATCATTTCACCAGAGAGCAGACATTAGATTTTTTATTATAAGCGCATTTTATAAGCTGACAGGCATACTTTGCTGACGCCATTTAAAAAGGTCTCAGAATTTCAAATTTAAAACCATTCTCAAACAGATTGAATTAACTTTAAGATTATAATATTTTAAAATCTTTTTGTTCGCTATTCAGTATATTAAATACTGTCTATAGTTTACGCGAGTAGTACTCATTTAAATAAAACACTTTAACGGGTTAAAACGCGATATATTAGTTAAACTTATTTGAAAATGATTTCTAACTTCGGCCCGACGTTTCGGATGCTTTGCAGCATATATATAATCACAATCGGCTATCGCGTTTTAAACCGTTAAAGTGTTTTATTTAAATATCCAGTCTATTGTTTGAAATTCACGTCATACCTTTGTATAATCTGTTTTACTTTTTTGAATCCTACTCTGTGATTTAACATATAATATAATCTGTGGTTCCCGCCTACTCAACAAATGACTGTAGTCCTTAAAACTAAATTCAAATGAATCTATTTCGGCAAATAGTCAAGGTTTCGAGTTATTTTACAACTCTTTTGGTATTATTCAAAACTTAAAATCTTCTCGCTAATGCTTAGAATTCACACATAATACCTTTCTATAATCTGTATTAATTTTGTGCTTTACATTCGTGCTTTATGGTTTGACATGCTATATTATCTGTGTTTCCCGCCAACTCTCCTTACAACTCAATTAAAATAAATCTATTTCATCAAACAGTCATGTTTTCGAGGTATTTTACAGCCTTTTTGGTGTTATTCTAAAAGTAGAGTTAACAACGTTGGTTTATCGCGCCTCTAGATGTTAAAGTTAACGGCGGAATAAGGGCCACGAAATGGTGTAAAGGGAACAATAATATTATTACAAAAGCAGCCCACCTATTTACCAGGCAGTCGTAAAGTCTATTATTACATTGAAGGAAGGCCAAGTGAGACAGTCCCAAAATTTGGGTCATGTTTGAACATTCCCTATGCCATCGTTAGACATAACTGATTCATGTTATAGGTGTTATTGAATATGTTAAACGTAAATAGTTACTAACTTATTAGATTTTAACGTCCATAGTAATACGAGATTTATTAAGATGCAGTATTCGTATTAGTTTTCAGATATATAAAGCTATTTTAATATCTACTACTACATAGTATAAGACTCATACGATTTTTTGATGATTTAATTTTTTTATTATTATATAGTTGATTAAATCGTCACCACATCTTTGGGTAGATCTTAACAAACATTGAGTTACTCACATATTAGGCTTTACAATTACTCTCATTTACGACAATGACCGCCTCTGTAGCCAAATGGTTAAACGTATTGCCTAGCATTGCGTTAAGCGCTAGAGGTTCTGGGCTCAAATCCAAGAGAAACAAAAAATGTTTCGGTCGGGCAGGGCACAGAAGTCTGAACTACTTGCCTGTTGAAGAACGGATCAGTGAAACGGACACAAAAATTTGTTCGCCCCACGCCCCACGAGGGGGGGAGACGTTTTTATAGATTTTGTTAACTTATCAAAATAGGTGTTCCATATTGTGTATGGATTTCGATCTATGAATATTCTAAAATACTATCATTAAAATAAAACTGTTAACGGTTTAAAACCCGAAATGTATTAGTTAACTTATTTTTAACTTCGGATTGCAGAAGCCATGGTCGCAAGGAGATTCGTGTTTTAAATGGTTAAGAGCGTTCTATTTAAATATGTACTCGCGTAAACTACAGACAATACTAGCATTAATTAAACAACAAAGGATGACGTTAGTTGATAGAGATCATCTGAACGGAAAATTCTTTGGCATTTTCCCAAAGGTCAATAATTAATCAATTGTGTAGAAATATTAGGTCGCCTATTCTCTTCGAATTAAACATTTCCATGACGGAAGCATCGTTAACAATGTTGTTGTTTACATTAGGACGGGTCCTTTTTTCTGAGAAAACCTTCGCCTTGGATACACAGATAATCAAATACATTAATAGCTTTCATAGAAAAATGCGAAAAATGCTAAATTGTAAATATATTGTATTCAATGAAACATTTTTGACATTGACCGGTATGCTAACATTTTTCTTAATACAACCCGACGACCCGATAATTGTAGAATCGTGTTTCCTGCGGGGGTTGGATCTTATTTACAGACGAGTAGTACTGACTGTAGAGTAGAGTAAGTAGATTTGGCTGCGATAGCCTGTATAACCGATACAATTTATTATATCCACTTTTCATACCCACGTCTAAGCCTTCGGTGACGGAAGCAATAGCTTATAATAGTCTGACAGTAGGAAACGTAGGCATAAAAATATTACAAAACTATAACAGTTATATCTGGGATCGGGAAAAGCATCTTATTTATTCTAAAAAACTTCTAGTCTGGAAATAAGATTATTGAAACAGACACAATAATGGCCTTCTGTGCCCCCCCCCCATTTAGGAAATATTAATTATATCAGTATTTGTTCGATTTAAAATATTATTACGTATTAACTGGCCTACAGTTGTCACGTATCAAAGTTCGTTGCCACTTTAATTACATTACTTAGACGCGCACGAAACTGAGGGTAATAATATAATAGTAATATGTAATTGCGTTAGTCGTTTTAACTCCAGTATACGAAAATCTATCCCTAGGGAACTCCTTTAAACTAATGCCAACTGGACCATTTAGAAACATTGACTATAAGTGTTAATTTACTCTCTCAAGCTCAATAAAAAAACAGTCATATTTTAGATCATCTATAGAAGTATAATTCTTTCATATCTTTTTGGTATCTTGAACCATTTTTGCATCGGAAGTCCTTAAAGATGAATAATTTTCCGCGCTTTTGTCCACATTTTCCACTGTTTCTTATCTTCTATTGGTTGCAGCGTGATGCTATAGCCTAAATCCTTCCCAGGTAAATGATCTATCCGACACGAAAGTATTTTTTAATTCGTACAAATAGTTCCGGAGATTAGCGCATTCAAACAAACAAACTCTTCAGCTTTATAGTTATACTATATATTTAACACAAATAGCAAAAGATTATAGCTTTAATATCACAAGTTTTGTTATCTGTAATTAATATAATGGTATTAAATATGTTTCAAACATATTAGAGTTAAGGTTCTATGATTATGCAAACAAAACGCTAGCTGCACTTTACTCCAGCGTACAGTAAGCATATCATTTATTTGCCTAACTCCTCCCAAATATAAAGTAAAGAGGAAAATAAATAATTGTTAGTTCCGTTAGTTTGTACTTCTGGAAATTGTAACGCCAAAGCTAAATAGTTATGAGAAGGTAGAAATTATCCAGCCTTTTTAAAGACTGGTTTAAAAAGATTTACTAATAGTTACATATGTTGTATAATTTTAACCTTATTTCTTTCGAGAATGTTGTAGATATTGGTAGTGATTGGAATGGCAAAATTAGATGTTTTAGTGATATTTTGTTTAACATTAAAATTATAATTATATACAACTAAATATATTTTAAATGTTAAATTAAATAATAATATTATGATTAAACTTTTATATCTAAAGAGAAAACATATTACAAAAACGTCAAACAAACACGCAATAAAAGGTTAGATTAAAAAAATTACTATCCGCCTCTGTAGCCAAATGATTAAACGTATTGCGTTACGAACGAGAGGTTCTGGGTTCAAATCCCAGGGAAATAAAAAATTGTTTCGGTCGGGCAGGGCAACAGAAGTCTAATCAACTACTTGCCTGTCAATAAAACCGATCAGTGAAACGGACATAGAAATGTGTTCGCCCCCACACCCCACGAGGGGGAAACGGGATTTCACACACAATGCAAAACAATCGCTCCTATTAGTCACACACTTAAGTTTTATAGCCTTCCTCCATATTTGATCTACACAACACAAAAATATTTTTTCAATTCGAATCAGTAATTCCTGAGATTCACCAGTTGAAACAAAGCTTTATTAGTATAGATCGTAATCCTATTGTTTTTATAACGACACCAATAATGGTTTTTATTTTCAATTATAATCCGTTATCAGGTTGTTTATGTAAGCTCTGAAAGCTCGATAGTAACTGTTTATGGTAGCTAAAACCAAATCGTGTGATAAAGTTAACAATTTTATTACATTGCACGTTAACTTCCAGTAAATTGCCTTTTTATTATAAAACAATGTGCTGAGTGAATAGATAAGTTAATGTTTATTGGATAAAGCCTAATGCCACGTTAATAAATATGTATTTTATGTAATGATGGAACTTTCTTTAACTGAAAGAAATGCTACATTATTTATGAATTGAGGCGTTAGCGGCAAGTAAGTTTTGTTAAGAATTTGTGTTTATTATCTAGGAATACTTTTTTATGATAGAGAAGGACAGGAAAGCATGGATTGACTGAATACTGTGTGCGATACTCCAGCCAAATAACATGTAAACATGGATGCAATCACTTGGGTTCGATCCCCAGCAGGACCAACATTTTAAAATTTATAATATTTCTGAAACATACTGGACTTCGTCTGGAAATCTGGATATTAAATGGGTGGTAGGAATATAAAATTTATGTCCGGGACTCGAACCACCGTCCACAGATGAAGCCGTGAAGTTTAATCGCGTTGCGGTTCAGTCTGTGGATTTCCGCATATCCAAAGCCAAAATTTGGCTGGGATATATCACCTACTATCAAGTGAGCTGTATACCATGTCTGTACTCTTCTATCGTTAAAAACAAGGAGTAACCAAGAATAAAATTAAGCGCAGAGTTTGAACATTGGGTATAATTATTGTTACATTTCGGGAAATATAAGGCTTGCAAAATTAAATTACGTGATACTTTCACAATTTTACTATTCATACTTGTAGACAATACTAAATAAGAACTTCTTATAAAAATTTAATTCGAATGTCGCTTGATATTAAAGTCTTTCTATCTTCTCCATTTCTTCAAAGTAGTTAATTTGTTACTTAGCTCGAGTCACTTCTGAGAGAAAGTTTTATCGGAGGAAATTTAAAAGTTCAATTATTATCCTTGCTGTCCATGTCTTGAGCAGGATATTTTAAGAACAGTCACAATAACTCCTTAATTTATCTTAAAGGTACATGGTAGCATTTATTTTAAATAAAAACTTATATGGTAACGAGTGATCCGTGGCATAAATAAACCACTGCACGGTTTTAATGCCAGGCAACTAATATACCTGCATAGAAAGCAGAAGAGTTTGTTTGCTGCTTGAATGCGTTAATCCCAGGCACTATAGCTTCGAATGGAAAATTATTTTTGTATTAGTTAATTCTAAATATTCATTTATCTAGGAAGAGGAATATTTATCTATTCAAATAATATCTATATATTGCGCTGCGGCTAATAGGAACTTGCGGAAAATCGGGGAAAATTGTTTGTAGGTTTTCGATGCGTACGCTGCGAACGGTTAAAGATATGTAATAGAGAATGATTCTTCTTTAAATGATCAAATAAAAATGTCAGTGATAGTATACGTCTATCTCTCAAGAACCAGCAAGAACGACGGAACGCGACCGACGTCGTGTGTAACAGCTTAAATATATAAAAACCTCCTTAGTTTGCAAAAACAAATTCAGATAACCAAAAATAACAATTCTACGCGGACAAAGCTGAAACTGCTAGTATATGTATAAAATCGATAACGGTAGAAAAATAAATGAATAAGTAAAAGAAAGAAATGGTTTCCCACATTTGTTACTTAAACCTAAATTTGATATAGGAGTTGTACCATACTAACCTAGATCCATTATTGTTAGATAATATTAAACTCTGTGACTTTCCTTGAGATTTTTTATTATTCCTTTCAGATATGGCGAAGGCGTTTATTCTTCTCACTGCGTTTGCTGTTGTCGGGGGAGATTTCAGCTTATTCACAAATCCAGCGTCGACCTTCTTTCAAGACACCTCCAGTTTTCAATTTGATAACCGGGTAGGAGATAGGAGCGGTGTACAAGCTGAAAGATTGCCTGTTAATGGCTTTGGGTAAATAGAAAAATAAAATTACAACGTTAATATTTATCATAATATAAATCAATTCTAGCTACGGAGCTGGTGGCATTTAGAGATATATCGTCATCGTTAATATAAACTGTAGCCCAATAATTACTAGAAATTGGGGGAGCTCATGTGACTCTGATTTTATGATTAAAAAAAATGTCAGTATTTAAATAAAACACTTTAACGTTTTAAAACACGATATATTAATTAAATTATTATAAAATGATTTTTAACTTCGGGCCGACGTTTCGGATGCTTTGCAGCAGCCGTGGTCACAAGGAGATTCATGTTATAAGTTAAAAATCATTTTCTAATAAGTTTAACTAATATATCGCGTTTTAAACCGTTAAAGTGTTTTGTTTAAATGTGTACTACTCGCGTAAACTATAGACAGTATTTAATTGTCAGTAGTTAACTTGAACTAGAATTGACCAGGATACATAAAACAATTTTAACGGTTTAAAACTATTTTTGGTATCGTATTCAACAACTCGTTGTTAATATCGCGTTTTCAACCGTTAAGTGTTAATTGATTACAAAAACTATATCATCGCTGCTGTTACCATGTCACTGTTTTTAAAATATTTAAATTTGCTTACAATAAGATGGTGGGCGTTTTTTAAAATTTAATTCTTATGATGGTCACACAGATACCACCAGTTCTCCAGCTAATAGCATTTGACTGTAACTAATATTGAAAAGATTGAATGGTCTTAATTTCTGTGTACACTTTTTGAATGTCCATAATTAATTGTGCAAATATGTGATTATTATATAGGCTTGTCATTGTTCGATGAATTTAACTTGAATTAATGATGTTAACATAATTGTTCTCGTTTGTGTCAACATACATTGTTTTAACAAGAATAACTAATGGTTCTATTCATGGTAGCTAAGAAGAATAAGTTTTGTTCTTCGTTGTTGTTTTTGTGACGCGTTTGTTAGTTAAAGGTATACTTAGGACTGAAGTGACCTAAGTGTAGCATTATTTATCTTATTTTCACAATACAAAAGGTCTTAAGTGTCTTCTTAGTTTTGACGTATTTTGAATCTAATTATTACGCCGTTAAAAATACTACTTGCCCATGAATACAGCCTTAACATTGCATGTACTAACTGTGTTCTTAATCAATCTGCACAATTCTGTTAACAGTGACGTTAAAAGTATTTTAGCAGACCATGGAGAGTACGCGAGGTAATTATTATTGTTTTATATACAGAATTAAGATAAAGTTAGAATAGTCTATACTAACTACGAAACAGTACAGTAACTACGAAAACGGTTCAAGATACCTTAAAAATTATTTTTGAAAAATTAACAAAATACCGCCAGTCTCACCAGAAGTGAGGTCAGATTATGCCCTGGGGGTAATTGGGGTAAATCGGATGGCATTGCCAGCTACATTAAAAAAATAATATGGACAATTTAATAGGTGTAATGTAAGCTATACACTCAGAAGAAAACTATTTGAGATAAGATCATAAATCTTATATAGTTATACATTTTCATGCACTAAATTTAATATAATGAATATTAACTATTGAAAACATTAATATTTATGCGAGAGGTGCATGTATCAATAAGTTGAAAAAGGTCAACGATGGGGTGTCGGACTCGGTAGCTCAATTGCTAGAGCAACACGGAACGCTGACAATGCCGGTTCAAGTCCTGCCCGAGTCGAAAAAATTTTCAATTTATTTTCGATCTTTAAATAATATTTACTAGTTAAATCGTAAGGCTAAAGAATTTAACATACATTTTAAGGTATCGAAAATCCCATTGTTGTTAACCCTAATGCTCTGTACCTTTTTCCAATAAATTCATAGTATATTGACTCTTTGGGGTATTGTTAGTTAGTAGTTAGTTACTTAGTTTATTGAATAAATAGTGTTAGTAAATAGTGATTTTTTTTATATATACTCATCCTGAAAGTTTTCCTAATCCTAATTAATTAATAAGCTCTTATTCTTATAGCTTTAGCAACCCACCACCTCCCCCCGGATCTGGTCAAGATCCAGCAACACAAACATGTGGGTTGGCACCATCGTTTTGCCCCAAAAGTCGCTACCGGTCGTTTGATGGTAGCTGCAATAACCTGCAGAATCCGAGTTTTGGTATGCCTCAGACACCTTATAAGCGATTGGTGCCTTTCAACTACGCTGATGGTAAGTTAGACTGTTCGTCTTTAGGTTGCAGTCTGTTTTCTGTGTGTGTGTTTTTTGTGTTCTTTTTCAAGTGATCCCTGTGCTTGTCTGTCCACCTCTGATATTTTTTTTTAAATCTCCTTAATTTGAATTTCAAATTGATTCGAAAATTCCATAAATACTAATAAAATATACATTGACCCAGATTAGAGAGTAAATGCATATACATGGATTGAAGAAAGTTGATGATTATTGGACATTACATACGGCCAGGGTAAGCCAATTGTACATCTGATCAAAACGCTAAGTTAGTAGCTTCGACTCCCGTCTATCTTATAAAGTTTTTCATGTAAAATAATGCGCAATAATGCTTCAAGTCTGTTCTTTATTTATGTGAGGTAAGAATGTGTAGTTCATATTATTTTTGATGCCAAGAATATTTCTTACATCTATCGCTTTTTGCATCGAAAAGTCCATTTATCGAGGAAGGCTACATCGTGAATAAGTTTGCTATGTTGATGAAAAATTTTGCAAAAACGGAAAAAAATATTCATTTCCAAAGCTTCCGCTGGACGCTTCGATTACGGTTGCTAGTTCATATTGAAAACGTGTTGATTTCCATTCAAAGAGCATGTGTCAGACACATTTCTGTGTCCATATTTTTATGATAGAGGAGAACAGACGATCAAATGGATCACCTCTACAAGATGCACTGTCGCCCTATCTTGGCTTTGGAAATTTAGCAATCTACAGACTGAAATCTACAATGGGTGGAACTTTCAGAAAACGGTGCAGATTTTACCCACGACCGATTGATTATTTGCTTTGCACCGCTACCATTGGACCAACGAGTCTAGTTTTATTAATTCATCTGTATCTAAAGCTGAACCTATCTAAAGTACCGCCTAAAACACTGAAATATACGCCTAAATCATGCTACGACAGAATATATCCCGGTTTTCCATTTCATTGGATTACGTATTGTTTTGTTTTGTTTTTGGAACAATATTTTTTTTTGTTTTTTAAACGTGATCGGGAATCTAACGCATGTTACCTTTATAACATGAATATTCATAGAATGAAAGTCCTTATAATTGAATACCGATAAATCTTCGCAAGCTTGAACGCTGGAGATGGCAGTAACAGATTTTCCTGGAAACGCTTTTAGAGGTAAACCTTTTATAGGTTTATACCCTTTGAGTTGGCAATCTCTTTTAAAAGTATAGAGCATCTAGTAGTAATGACTTGTTTGATGCCCACATAGATAAAGAAACCAATTATTATTAAAAATAAATAAAAAAAAGGTTCTATCTTCTTTAAATTTAGAAAAATATTAGGTCTTTAGGAACCCCCTCGAGTGTAGGCCTCCTCCTAAGTTAGGTTTTGGGAAGTTTTCGCTCATTATGGGCCATAAATCGCCTGTACGTCGTCGTCCAACGTCGTGCTACTGGTTTCCCTCTGCCCCGATTTCCTTTACCATTACTAAAAATACAATAATAGAATAATCATTCCTAAGATTCAACTTTTTTGATTGTATCAAATCGTGGTGATCTGATACAATCTATCTATCTGATACAATCGATATAGAAGATCTGAGAGATCTTCTATAACATTATTTATATATATATATATTGGGCATATATAGTAATTATAAAACGGCATACTTATAAACGGTAATAAATTTAATTAGTATTTTATGCCACAGAAGAACAGACAAAATTGGGGTTCTTTCGTGAAAAAATTCTAAGCCAGAAGATACAAAATAGTTTTACGATGCGGTCTCAACCTAATTTGATAATAGACAATTGCGTGTTAACGTCAAATTTTTACACCGTAGCACCTACTGGAAGCAAATATGTTTGAAATCCCATCAATATTATCTTTTTTTCGTGTAATATCTTGTGGATGAGAATTAGAATTGATTATTACCCACAAAACAGTGTATATTTGCGCGCAATAAATAAAATCCAGCTGAACGTTTGATAGACAAATGCAATTACGTGAAATAAATCATCGAACGAAATTGTCTCTTTGACAGACCCTATCGCTTTTGGCTCGTTCGCAGCACCGACACCACTCAATTACCATTCAAATTTTGCTAAATGTGCGGCCGAAGTTAGCTCACCTCAACCACCGCATCACAATTGTTAAACGGCTTGTCTATCACAGAGTAAAGCATAAGAGGTTCTAATTCCGGGGAAACGAAAATTGCATCGGTCAGACGAGACACATGTAAGGCGTTTTGAGGCTTTTGTGTTGTTAAAATGCTTTATAATGAGATTCTATTGTAAAAATTGTAATAGTTTAATCAACATAACACCACTGACACCTGTACCTTCGTGACTCAAAGTAAAACCGCGTAACGCAATAAGCATCGCAACAAAAAGTTCCCAACAATACAGTTGTGTAAAATATTTTGACTTGACTCGTTAGCTCAATTAGTAGAGCAACACCAGGGAACGCTGACGATGCCGGTTCAAGTCCTGTCCGAGTCGAATTTTTTTTCAATTAATTTACGATTTTTAAAATATTTTGAATTGAATAAAACTTTGAAACAAAGTTCTCTTTAATAACTCTAACCATTTAAAGAATTCAATACCACAGATAACAAATACTCTAAAAAATATATCGTAAACGTTACCTACCCACATAAGATTTTCGACTCAACGATATGATAGCGGACAATATAAGCCTAATGTCTGCCATAAAAACGAGAAAATATTTTAAAACCGTCCGTGTTTTCGGCAAATACGTTCTCAATTCTCGCTCTATTTTTACAGGAATCAGCAAATTGCCCGTGTCTGTAACTGGAGGTGAATTGCCGAATGCTCGTGAAATCAGCATAACATTATTTCCTGATAAGCCCATAGTGGATCCTCTATGGAATTTAAACGCTCAACAGTGGGGACAAATTATAACGCATGACATGTCTCTTACTGCTGGTGTCGCACAGAGCCGTATGTATTGATCTATCGATTATCAAGAGTAACAATCTAAGTTAATGCTTTGTTACTATTTGTTTAATAGGAAAGCGTGTTTATTTATATTTTTCAACTAAGTCTATTCTTCTAAGTAGTATAAAGGATATAAATGAAGTATACAAGGTCACTTTAATAAAACTGAGTCAGTATTGTATCTATGGTTATATTTAATGGGGATTCGATTATAGTTTTGCATTAATTGTAACTTAAATAGAGAAATCAATTGTTTCACTAAGATAAAATTGTATTAAAAATAACAGACCATGAATAGGATTTGAAACTATCAATTTTTGTTCATCGCAAATTTATTGATAGTCAAAAATTGTGCCGCACGAGATACAAAGAATATTATTTCCGCTATTGATTTTTTATTAAAAGCCAAAGCTGGAAAGCGCAAAAAATCGAAGGTTTTCCAGAATTCATTCAACTAGAACGTCAAACGGCGAATAAAATTTTACTAAATCATGACTCACAATCAATTGAGTTTTTTATTGTTTTTGCGAATTTTCTACGTTTTGGCTTAAATTTATCATAAATGAACATCATGTCAGTTTTAATATTACTGTAATTTATTATTTAATTACAAGTAAACATACATGCTATGGCCCAAAACAGTAAACTAAGTACAAAATCACACATATTAGTTGCTCCGATTAATGGCGAAGGAGGCAAACAAACAAAAAAAATGGTCGGATTGGTATTCCAAAATACTACTTAACCGCAATCTTTGATTCTTTGGTCATTAGATCACAGAGTTAGCAAATTTTTATCTTAAATATCTCATCAATTTCAATCTAGATTTTTGTTTCAGATCAAGATCTAGTTGTTTGCTGTGATGGCGAGGGTCGTATTGCGTCGGATGCGTACACCAATCCTGTCTGTGCTCCCATTATTATACCACCCAATGACCCAATTCACGGTCCCCAAGGCACACAATGCATGAACTTCGTGAGAACTGGGACTACGAGAGACAGGAATTGTACACCTCCTAATGCACCAGCTCAACCGGCAAGTTCTTTCACATCATACAATATCCAGAAACGATTAAATTACAAATATAAAAAAACTCAACATAGGGAGTGTTTTAAACGGTTAAACGAAACTGACAAGAAAAATACGTAATAAACTTTTCAAACATTCTTTATGCCACGCATAAATTTTTTAAAACAAAAAAAAAACAAAACACTTTTAATAATCATTCTTGTCTAAATAAAACACTTTAACGGTTCAAACGCGATATATTTTAGTTAAACTTATTTGAAAATTAATTTTAGCTTTGCACAGTCCGTTCACGGAAGAACTTCCTTCCGTGAAAATAATTCAAATAATATATATCGCGTTTAAACCGTTAAAGTGTTTTATCTAAATGTGTACTACTCGCGTAAACTACAGACAATATTTAATCATTCTTGTCTTTAAAAAAGTGAATTTAACCAAAACTAAAGCCCCATTTCAGTTCAAACCAAAATATATATAATAAATGTAAAATAATACAATAAAAACAGTAGGAAATTTAATGCAATACGAGTTTTGTCGCTCAAATTAATCACAAGATATAGATATGTCGCAGAGCTTAAAGCTCGACATGGGTAGAAAATACTTTCCGAAATACGTTACACAACTGAGTTCCATCTCGTGGCTAAATCCACTTCAAATTCGGGATTTACAAAGTATGTAAGAGTATTTGAATGAAAACACAAGGCGGATACGATGATGTTTTTTTACTAGAACACCCCATTTTAAAGATAAAGTAATAAAAATATGTTTTTTTTTTTAATCTTGAAACGCCAATATATTATTTGACTAGATGTGACCGCGACTTACATTACTAGCATTACGTTAAGCGCGAGAGGCCCTGGGTTCGAATCTCAGGGAAGCATAAAATTGTATCAGTCGGGCAGGGCACAGAAGTCTAATTAACTACTTTCCCAGTAAAAGAATGGACCAGTAAAACGGACACAAAAATGTGTTCGCCCCATGGGGCGTGCCCCACACGGGGGAAACAGGCTTTCACTTTCACTTATTTTTTTGTTCATATATTAATTTAAAAATTTTGACATATACTGTCACATTCTTTTAGATTATTTCAAAACAAATCATTATTTTACACATATTTTTCGGGTATCTTGTACCATTTTCGCAGCGCACGCCACAGAAACCCTCAAAGGTTTATAATGTTCCTTTCCTCGACTATTGGCAACAGCGTAATGTCAAAACCTTCCTTAAAAAACGCTCTAACCAATAAAAAATATTTTTTGTATTCGGACCAGTTGTTCTTGAGATAAACGCGTACAAACAAATTCTTAAGCTTTATAATATTAGTATAGATTAAATAACTCAGGCGAAATAAGTTTTAAATAGGATTCTTAACATTATCTTACACAATTTCTGTACACAAGTAGTACATACTTAATTAGATAAATAAGTATACAGCAAGCTAATTACAGGGGACATAAGTTTGAAACTTTGGACAAAGACAAATTACAAGAAAGTATTATGGCTTCGTATCTTTAATTAAACTCTAAGCTTATTTTTTGTTTAGCTACTGTTATAGGTGATGTATCGCGTTCTATATTTATCCCGTAGAAAAGAGGATCTTCCTTCCGAATCTGCTCTTTTAATGAGCTGTCACAAACACAGTTTTACAGACAGTGTTGTTCTGCGTTGTTTAACATTTTATATGTAACCTCTGCCTACATAGAGGTTAGTAATTATTGCTATACGAAAGCAATAGGAACTTATTTTTAAAAAGGTTATACTTGAAGAGTTATTGCTTTTTGAGATATAATAGATGCTTTGCCAATTAAGACACATAAAATAAAGATATTTTATTCCCATTTAGTTTACGTAATGTGAAACAACTGTTAATTGTTTGTAATTTTTTTTTTTATTACCTTACCGGCAGTCTAAGAGAGAGCTTGTTATATACACATCGTCATCGTTTGTGTTAATAACTGTGACATTAATAATAACTCATAAATATATTAATACATCTTTGATTTTTAAATATCTGTGGTAAATAGTAATAAATATATTTATTTTCAATTCGATTTCGAATTTAAATCTCGGTGAAACATAAAAAAATTTCTGGTGAGGACAGGGCATTGAATCAATCACGCGCCTCATAATACTCTCGATCAGTAAAACAGATGTAAAAATATATAACCTATTTATATTTTTCTACAGCTATCAACAGTGACTGCGTATATGGACCTCTCGTTAGTTTACGGGAGCAGTGACGGTCAAGCGAGGCTAATACGTGCGTTTCAAGGAGGAAGACTGTTGACTATTTTAAGGAAAGGGCGGGAGTGGCCGCCGCAAGATCCCAATGTTACCCTGACTTGTGAATCCGCACAGTCGCCGAATGAACCTTGCTATTTAGCAGGTAAGATTTATACATCGTAGTGATATTTTAATGCTTTATTATTTATCACATAATGGCAATATATAAATTTAAAGATTTTACACGGTGGCACGGTAGCTCAACCGGTAACCAATTGAGCTACTGTGTCATCGAGTAACATTCACCGTGGTTAGAGCATCAGCACGGAACTCTGTGTATGGCAAATCCTGCCCGTGTCGTTAATTTGTTTCTACCCAAATCGATTTTTAATCTATCGTAGTGATAAAAAATTTATAAGATTTATATTTGGATTCGATTATAAAACTTAATACACAATTAAAATATGCATTTTATTTAATGTTTTTTTCATTGATATTTTTAAATGTACAAGATTTAAATGATATTGAAACATTCTATAGGCAAGATAGAAAAGACGCAAGTTAACAGTATTTATATCGATAATGTGTATAAAATATATAATTTCCTTATTCCTGTATTAAAAACTAAATATAATGTTCATAAGTGAGTCGGGCATAACTTCACTGATCGGTTCTATTACAGGCAAGTAGTTGATGAGACTTCTCTGTTCTGCCCGATCGAAACTATTGATTTCCAGGGATTTATATCCAGGACCTTATCGCGCTTAAAGCAATGTTAAGCTATACGCTTAACATTAAGCTACAGAGGCGGCGTTTAAAACACACAATTTTCTTCAAATATATAATTTTCTGCTTTCTATTTTTGTTCCCTTCATATTATTTCTTTAATGTCAACAATGGATGTTAAAATAAACATCAAGAGGCTTCTGCCGCGGGTGTCTTGTAAAAATCTCGGATTTCATTTTCACATTTCAAGAAATTCTGATAAAAAACAGATGCCAGTAATGCCGAAAGTAATTACATGTTTTTGGAGCTTTCGAAATCGTTTTAGCGTGAAAGGGACGTTATATTCCCTGAAATTACCAAACTAATAAAATATTTTTCTTACATTATCGTCCCTTATTTTAACAGAAGTCTATGATACTTTTAGAAAAAAAAAGCATTCACGTTAATAATCGCTCAGCTCACAACCAGTTATTTCATGTATTTTCTTTGACACTTTCAAATACATATGTTAAACAGATGTAATACCCGCTTTAGTGACTTGCTTAAGACTTTACTTTGATTCCCGATTTTGTTGAATTGTGTCCAGCAAGGACCACTGATAATAACCAGTGACGTATGATGAAGATCAATAACGTAATGACGTTATTTAAATTAAAATTCTATTCAGATAAAAAAAATTACACGGTTGCGATAGAAACCGGTATCTACAGCGTTCCGTGTTGCTCCTCTAACCAAGCCTTGACACGGAACCTCAATTGGTTATAGCAGATCGGGACACTGTGGGCGCAGGTTCAAATGCCCGCCCGTATCGTAATTTTTTAAAAATAATTAAAAATATTAAAGTTTTCAAACATTATGTTACTGTTATAATTGATACTGATTCTCAAATATTTATGATTTTGTTGATTGGATACGTCATCACGTTCGGCAGTCGTTAACATATAGCGAGCTTACACGTATCGAATTCAAACGATAGAGAATTACTTCCGCTACCAAGCCTTTAAGGGATCATCTCAAATTACCTATCGCCTTGTATATTTTCCACCAAATAAAATATGCTTTACTCGTTGCTCTGGTGATGTGGAAAATCAGGATGGAAATTTTGTTATAACGGCCTATAGTTGATCCATCATCAGATATGGTGGTGAAAATAATAAATTTATTATTGAACGTATACATTCATAGGTATGCCTGCGAAGTTTAATGGAAAATAAAGTTTTGAGTTCGTCTCTCTTTTGTCGGTAGTAATGTTAAATCAAGACAGATAAATAAAAATCAGAACTATAAACAGATTTAAATAAATATATTAGTTAACTAAATATAATAAAGTTTAATTTATTTTTGGCCCGTTGTTTCCAATTCTTTGTAACAGTCGTGGTCACGGGGTGAAACCAGACAATACTCTTTTAAGTTTAAATTCTTTCAGTTGTTTACGCGAGTAGTACACATTTAAATAAAACACTTTAACGGTATATTAACTTATTTGAAAATTATTTTTAACTACGGCCCGCATTTCGGATGCTTTGCGCCGAAAAACCTTGTCACCCCGTGACCACGGCTGCTGTGATTTTTTTTTTATTCACATAGACAAAATTCTTGTACAAAACATAGTAGTTACCAGAAAACCAATTAAAAGTTTTCGCTACTAGATCCAGAAATATAAAATACAAGTGTGTCTAATAGAATCTTAGCGTAGTTATTTAAACGCCAGCCTTGTTTAATAACGTCTAAAGTGACATTTAACATTTTCTACGAAAACACAAGTCGGAATTAATTTCACGTCTCTTCTCGTCTTGTATTCCGCTATTCAAAAATAAACACGCCGTATTTAATAAGCGTATTATTTGTTTATTCAGGTGACGTTCGAGTGAATCAAAACCCACAATTAACGCTCCTGCAAGTAATTTTGCTTCGTGAACACAATCGCATAGCGGATGTACTTGCGAGCATGAACCCCTGGTGGAGCGACGAGACGATTTTCCAAGAAGCTAGAAGGATTCATATCGCCGAGATGCAACATATTAATTATTATGAGTATCTACCTATATTTCTCGGTAAGTCGTACGTTATATCGCTTTTATCACATCTATGCCTCTACTAGCTGTGTCAGCGACTTCGTCCGCGTTAAATAATTATTTTGGGCATCCAAAATGGCAAACCTCGATATTGGTCGGGTCACGTCGCTCTGAATCCAGCGTTTAGGGCCACTCGTTCTCGCGGACTTTTTTTTCGATAATTTAAAGAGGAATCATTGTTTACATGTCTACCTATATATAAATATAAATGGAATGGCAAGAACGACGGCACGCAGACGACTTCGTGTTTGTTTCCCAATTTGTTTTGCCAAACTAGTCTGCGATAAAAATATTTTAATTATAAGTTCATTCTTAAATTCACTCATAAATAGAATTACTCTTATCTGTTATCGGTTCTGATAAGATATAGACCTACTTAATGTCGGTCTGTATGTGTACATTTTTGAAGGCAAACATCATCCAGATCGTAATTTACGTATTTACAATAAAACACCACCTTGGCTCAAAGACAAGACAGACAAGCAAGCTTCACTGGATGAAAGATGAACCCAGCCATATATAATCGGAATTCCACAAACTTAAACCGAAACGCTAACGCAAGTTACTTTTATGACGTGTAAAATTTAAAAAGGCTTTCGGAATTTCACTTACACGCTGTGAAAACAGAAATTGTATTTTTGTTTATGTAATATAGAAAATCGGAAAGTCAACCACATCCTGACTGTAATTAGATGCGTTACTTTTATTTACAGTACCGGCTTTAAATACGATAAAGGTGTTAATTTTTTAACGTTTCCTAATGTCGACTAGTGACCGCAATAAACCGTAGATGTATGAAAAGTTTACTGTTCTCGTTTTAATCTGTTTAAAATTGATATTGGTATGTGTACTAACAACCATTCGCCTACATATACAAAAAAATGTCACAAATTAAATACATCCAGTAATATATTATATTAGTTTAGTATTAAATAGGATAAAACATGTACTGTAGCTGTTAGTTGTATAACTATATCTATGTATTTCAGGATATGAAAACATGGTGAAGAATAGGCTGATATATGAAGAAGTGATTGGGTATATTGACGATTATAATCCTCGAGTGGACCCTTCAATATTGGATGAACACGCAACTGCCGCCTTCAGACATTTCCATACGTTAATTTTTGGATTTTTACAGTACGTACATGTATAACGGTTAAACAATAAAACGTTCTGTTAGGCGAGGTACAGAAGTACAAAAAGAAGGAAAATACAGTGGGTGAAGTAGACACAGAAATTTGTCTGCCTATGTCCCACAAAGTGATTTGCATTTTTTTTTCTAATAGAGAGATAGCATAGCGTTTTACTTGGAAGGTGAAACACCGTAGCCATATAACGTGTAAATATTGTGCGCTGTTGACCTACTTTGTTTCCAGATTTCCGAATATTGGATATTCGGAAATCTGCAGACCGAAACCGAAACGCGATTAATCTTCATGTTTTTCTTTCATCTGTCATGTCTTATTCCAGACTAAGTCTGATATTAGCCATCAAAAGCGTGAATCTTGCCCTACTAATAAAATACACAACGGCGGCTATGGCTTGACTTTACATATTGTGTCAAATTTTTGTTACAAAAATAAAACTATTATTAACGAGCTAAAACGCGATTTATGTATGTAACTAGGCACGACCCTAAATTTTGGGTCGTGACGTTAAAAGGGTTTCGGAGTGTTTAATTTATTAACTTCTTTTAACAATAAACGCGCGTTGTACATCGTTTAAAAGTATTCATCTCATGTTCAATGTACTAGTAGTGTAATTAAAACAGGCATTTAACTACGCAATAATTAATATAGACCAATAACATTATTAAAATAACAAATCTGTGCTTAGTTCGTTGTTTCTAATAGCATTTTTTTATCATTTAACGTGCATACGCATTACGCTTATTATATTACTTATTTTTGCCTTCTACTCTGCTCTTGGGACATGTTGCCTAGTATTGTGTTGATATCGTTGAGATCAGTGGAACCGACACAGCATTGTGTTCGCACCATGCCCCACGGCGGAACTGAGTTTTCAGTTTTTCGTGACTTGCTGAATCATTTATATTTAACAGAACTCTTAAGTAGATTCGTAGAAGTGAAGTTGTATTGTTCATATGACGGTAGATTTCGTCTAGTCTCATGCAGCTGTCTTTGCAGATTATTAACACAGGACAGACAATTGGCGGGGTACGCTAGATTGAGCGATTGGTTCAACAGGCCTCTACTATTGGAGTTGGATAATATATTCGACAAGCTGACAATTGGGCTAACTGCGCAGCCCCCATCCTATAGCGACCAGTTTTGGGATAGCGAAGTGACTCAATTCCTCTTCCGGTTAGTGATCTCACTTTAATTTGAAATATACTGTTGCAGCTGACGCGGTTAACCACGGAGCAATTGACTCCGAAAATAGAATGGATTTTAATCTATACTAATATTATTATGCTGAAGAGTTAGATTGTTGAACGCGCTAATTTGAAAAAAAATAAACTGGTAAATAGATCATGTATTGAGGAAGGCTTTAGGCTATAAAACACCAAGCTGCGATGTATATGAGCGATGAAACAGTGGAAATGTGGATAAAACAAACAAATTAATTTTTCCGGTTTTCAGTTGGGTGAATAATCTGAAAAATATGTTTGAAATCATGATTCTTCTTTAAATGGTATCTGTCTACCTGCAAAAACCTAATAGCCTGAGGAGGTTGTTTCCAAAAATAAATAATACGATGATAAAAATAATGCGCATGCTTTTCCATGCGGACGAAGTCGCGGGCACAGCTAGTGTAGATTTTACAATGTGTATCATAAAAGATTTAGTCCAACTCTTGATACATTTAAAATGTTGAATGTCCAAAATAAGAAAGACGAAAAACAAAGTCTACGAGTATAACTTATTCCCATTTCATTTTTTTATGTCGTCGAAGGTTCTACATAAAAATTATGAAAGTATTTCAAATAATACAAGACAAACAATAAAAGATATGAAGAATTCTAAACAACTACTCGGTTGTAAATAAGATCAGTGAAATAGATACCTAAATGTTTAAATAAAACACTTTAACGGTTTAAAACTCGATATATTAGTTAAACTTATTTAAAAATGATTTTTAACTTCGGCCCGACGCTTCGGATGCTTCTCCCTGTAATGTTTTAAGTTTAACTAATATAACGCGTTTTAAACCGTTAAAGTGTTTTATTTAAATGTGTACTACTCGCGTAAACTATATACAGTATTTAGATACGTAAATGTCCAATATGTCCAATGTCCCATAACCCAAATAGGGTGGTAAATTTCTCACTAGCGATGAAAACTTTTTGTTAATACTGCATAACTTATGACAGCAACTTGCCAAGTCCGAACTTGCCAAGTGAAGTTACAGTATGATGTTATTATATAGGACTGATTAGTTTACGAACTGAAAGAGAAGCTTTCCATTGGTGCTGAGTGCGGACTGAAATTTGAACATAAACTTCAAACTGCACTGAAGTTAAATTTAAAAAGAATATCTTTGAAAGCAAGCGAACCCTGATATTATCAAGTGAAATTCGATGAAAATATTGAATAAATTATTTCATAAAAGCGAATCGTTTTTAGGGTTCCGTATACAAAGAGTAACAAACCTTATTTCTAAGACTTCACTTTCCCAGTGTCAGTAGACTCTATTTAAAATGTATGATATCCAGTTTTAACGTGGGATTTGGGGAAGACACAGATCTATTTTGTAACCAGGAAAGTAGTTGATTAGACTTCTGTACCGTGCCCAATCCATCCGCTAATTGGAGTCCACAACTTTTTGCTCAGTCTGTAAAGAAAATTAACCCCTATTTGGCCAGGAATGACATTCGACTAGGAAAAAAAAACACATGTGTTTGCGTAGCAACTACAAAGAACCGAATAAATTAAATAAGTAGTCCTCAATATTCATTACAACAAATCTGTTGAAATAATAATAATTTCTGAAGATATTATCCTATAATAGTAGCGAACGATTTGTGCGCTAACTCCACTCTCCCTTGGCTGTTTGAGGTGAACCACAGGGCTGTGGAGTATGAAATTGAAAAATTTTACGTAGTTTAAATTGTAAATTTTCGTCGCTTGATAAAACCTGTTAAATATACCTATAATCATACTATTACCCAATTCTCATAATACGTAATTTGTATGCATCGAGTCCACAAAAAGAAATTTAGGTAATTTAGTCTCCCCGTGACCAAGGCTGCTGGAAAGCATGCGAAACGTCAGGCCGTAGTTAAATTAATTGCAATCAAGTTTAACTATTAATTCTTGCGTTTTAAACCGTTAAAGTGTTTAATTTAAATGTGTACTACTCGCGTAGACTATAGGCCTTGCAGTTTTATCACCAAAGCTACATTGGTGATAAAACTGGAAGGCCATCGTTAGATTAAGGATGTAATAAATGTAAACTGTGTAATTTATGAAGTCTTTTAATAGTTAGACTGTCTCAATACTGACGTTTCGTTTGTAAAAACCTTTGTCTAACAAAACAGACGAAGTTATTTAACGAGTAATTGTTATTTACGCGCCGACATCTAAATGAAAAAGGTTCCTTTACAGATCGTGACTTTACTAAATATATGTTGTTTAGGCCACTGTGGAAGTTTTCGTTAAACGTGGTTTTAACAGAATGTTATTTAATTTTAATACTAGTTAGGATAGAAATTTTCGGAACAATTATGAGAATTTGATAAGAACTAAAATTTAATAAATGCCAATAACATTATAAAAGAATTAATGCCATCTATTAGTACTCGCTGGAAACGTATTTAAAATTTTTATTAAGTTTACTAGGGTTGCCTGGAAGATATGGTTTAAAGCGTTAAGGCCGTTCTCGCTATAAGCGATCTGCTCGTGGTCTAAATTGTAAGCTTGCATAGTGTATGTTTTGCTTTTTTTTGTATCTAAGTCAGAAATAAATAATTTAATATTTTTAGACGAAATAACACATTTGGTGGTGACCTCCGAGCCACAGATATTCAGCGTGGGCGGGATCACGGTTTGGGCAACTACATTGACACTCGAGCAGCCTGTGGTCTACCGGTTCCGAGATCGTTTAACGATATGACAGACTTCATAACAAAAGCTGTAAGTAGAAAAATCTCATCAATGATTTGACTGATTGCCAGGGTTCGTCCCAGTAGCGAGTAAGGTGAGCTAATGTAATTAGAATATTATTAAGTAAAGACACGTCTCAATAAGAAACAGCGTGTGTCGTTTACAAGATCGTTGCAAACGACACACATTGCTATTTCTATGCTTTAGTATCTTATAAAGATACATTTTTTCGGTATATTAAGAGACATTTTGATGTTGTTAAAAACGTGTTAAGTCCACTAAAAAAATTATACAACTAGAAACATATTTAGCTTAAAATTTTCTTTATGACTCGTTATACAATAACATTTACTATAAAACAACTCCTTGTTTTATAGTAAGTCCAAGGACTAGTTAAGTTTTAGTTATTTTATGAATTATCATAATATGCAGCTCCGGTCGTATAAACTCCATTCTATTCGTATCCTGTGTAAAGTAAATAAGGTCGGACTTACCAGCGAAGTAATTTTATATTTTTCAGAGCTTTGTTCTTTTATACGTAGGTGTCTGTACGGTATCTCGACAAAGTAAAAGCTTTGAACATTTTAATTTTAATTGTAGATACACACACTGTTAAATAACATACAATTTATTTTAAAGGGTTGTATGTTAAAGTCGAGGCCCAAATTCGATTCCCACGAAGTCCAATTTGTTGGCCGGTTTCGCCAAATATTAACTTCGACGGAACATATGGCGCTAGCGTAGTAGTTTTTTACTTTGACGTTAGAGACATCCTCCATTTTTAGTCTCCCCGTGACCACGGCTGTTGTAAAGCATCTGAAACGTCGGGCCGTAGTTAAAAATATTTTTCAAACAATTTTAACAAAAATATATCGCGTTTTAAACCGTTTAAGTGTTTTATTTAAATATGTACTACTCGCGTAAACTACAGACAGTATTTTGTTAGATGTTATGTGGCTGGGTTATTTAACAATTTCACCCTCCATCAAATAATAAAAAAATATTAACAGCTCTTTGATATGAAATATAATTTTGAAACTGAAAGAAATCTATTCGTGAAAAGGTTTATCTTTTATTCCTTACTATAATGAAGACGTTAAATCTTTTTTTTCGTACTCAGAACACAAATGGAGGTTGTACAAACGGTTGTGAGGCAAAATGAAACTACTGCAATGTTAAAATTTTAATGTACATACATTTTATTAAACATTTTTCGAGAATAGTATTTTTAATAAATCTTAGTAATGTTACGTCTTTTTCTTTCTGATATTGTGTCTCTTAGTTGTCAGTTATTTCAAGGAAAAAATATCATGAAAATATCTCTCCCTTTAAAATATCTTCTCAGTTACATTTGTAATTCACGTCTAGAACATTCACGGAGAATACTGATAGTCTTCATTAGCATAACGTAACATTTTATATGTTGAGAGACATTATCCTGCAGACTGATTCAATCACATGCTTTTAAAATCTCTAAAGACAAACTCTTAGACTAAAGACCGTTGGAACGCTGCCGGAATATGCTCTACACTAAAACGCTCCTTGGATTTTTCGATTGATTTTCTTTACACGTATCGAGAACGCGTATCGAATGGTCAGTGTCGTAAGAAGCAATGTTCACGTCTCTTAGTTTTATTGAAAGATTTTCTTTATTTGTCAGTTATTGCACGATATTTTTCTCTCAGCAGTATAAAATTATGAAATTATTACATTAGTGCATTCGTGGTTCGACGCTTACAAACATTATGTCAAGTGTAACGGGGTTCAAATTTCGGGAAAAGAATAATAAATTCGATCAGGTGTGGCACAGACGGTGGTAGGAACCAAATGTAGTATTGTGTATGCAATCGAGATACGTAAAGCAAATATATATTTTTTTGTTTTTACCTTTCTATCGCTTTATTATATAGGTAACATTTTAGTTATAAAGGAGAAATAAAAAAATCTTATCAACCGTTGGCGGTAAAATAAACCCAGAAATATTAAAATAGCTTTCGCTAAGTTCGTCGCTGACTACCTAATGCCGCAATACTTAATTTTTAATTAAAGTATTAAGTGTTACTTATTTCCAAATACTGTATTTTTTATTCGTTTAAAAATAGCAATATAACCTTAATTAATTAATGGTGACACCCACGTGTAAAATGAAACATGTAAATTATACGGTCTATAAGTTTTACTAATGAAACCGCAGAGGCTTCATTAGTAAAACTTATAGTCGTTTAGTGTACAAAAACCGTGTTATTTAAGTAATTAAATATGTTTTTAATACTTCAACTTTCTAGCTAATTTGAATAATTAATAATTATTTTGTACAAAAAATATTTTTATGAGATATAAACTACTTCAAAAAATAGTTCTCAAACTCAAAACAAAAAGAAACTTTACTTAGTACATATTTTGATCATTGTATATTATAGAAATATTTATTAAGAAATTTTCAGTTAAGTAAAGAACATGCTATTTACAGAACGTCGATCTTCTACAAACATTGTACCAGGACGTCAGAGACGTAGAGCTGGTGGTCGCCGGGTCGTTGGAGAACAACATGCCTGGCGCACTGGCAGGCCCGACATTCCTCTGTCTGCTTACAGAGCAATTCTACAGGACAAGAGTCGGCGATCGATATTTCTATGAAAATGGTGAAGACCCGGATACTGCGTTTACTTTGAGTAAGTCTTTTATTAGATGATGGTCTTACAGCATTACGCAGTACCATACATCATATAACTAACTATATAACATATAATAACTCACTGTTTTATTATAATTAAAGATGAGGCGATATTTGACAAGATTTTTTAAAATAAATTATTTCTTATAAGACTATTTCTTTGAAGACATCAATATTGTTCACATGTTATCGCACATGATACATAACATTGAGCGAGAGCTGCATGCATGAATTGCTTAAAAAAATTAAACTCAATTGGTTAGAGCAGCAGCACGGAATGTTGTGGATGGCGGTTCACATCCTACCCGTGTCGTAATTTTTTTTTTGTCCAAAATTGATACTATTTCTATAAGCCTAAATTGCTTTATACAGATTATGGACGACATAAACGGTCAATAAAGATCACGATTTCGCCTCATTCGGCGCTAAGTTTTATGTCTTTCTCGTCTATATTAATAGCCCTACTATATTACGTAGTGCAATGTTTTGTTAGATATAAAATATACAAACACAGATAAAGGTAATTTAATATACCTGTTTGTATATTACTAGATGTTTATATAGGCTCGACAGGAAATTAATTATGTATCTCGAAATTGTCTCAACCCACGACCCACCGGATTCAAAATGTTACTAATTAATTTATAATGTTTGCGAAACATGTTGGACTTCCTCTGGCAATCTAGATATTAATAGAGTGATAGGAATATCGGAAAATGTCGTCTGGGAGCCGCTGTCCACAAACGATAAAGCCTCAAGCTACATCGCAGTTCGGTTTTAGTCTGTGGATTTCCGGGCCAAAGTCGCAGCACATTTTGTGATGGTTTTATATGGAGTTATTTCACGTACCAGCAGGTGAAGCCCCTGCTTGTCTCTCTTCTATAAAAAAAACATCAATCTTAGGGATTTATATTTCTTTTAAATAAGTTTGTTTAAATAGGCTATTGATAACAAGTCGGAATCTACGAATTCAAAAGCTACAGGACGTTTTGTGTAGGAAAGCCTTACGTTTGTCTACTTACGTGTATTCTCTGCCAATATTTTATTTATAGCAATAACCTTTTAACTGCTTCTTTTATCTTGTGAACATAATAAAACGGAAGTGAGGTCAGTACATACTACTTGTAGCCTACAGTGTGTATGTCATACACTTATTTTGTCTTTTTTCCCCAGATATTTATGGTTTTTATATAATATGCTGTATAGATATACAATGAACTAATAATATTATCAATAGTGAGATATACTAATACAGATAGAAAAGCGGTGAGATTATATTTTACGCACTCTAATCGGTTAAAAACGCAAAATGTCCCTTTTTGTTACAATTTTTTTTAAATTTTTTTTTTCTAATGTCTACCTCCTCTGTAGCTAAGGTTAAACATATTGCATTACGCGTGAGAGATTCTGGGTTCGAATCCGAGGGGAAAAAATGTTTAGGGCGGGCAGGACACAGAAGTCTCATCAACTACTTGCCTGTTAAAGAATAGATTAGTGAAACGGACACAGAAATGTGTTCGCCCCATGCCCCACGAGGGGGAAACGGGATTTCACTCAATCGTATTTCGCATGAATAAAGAGAATTTGTAAAGGGTATATAGTATATGTCATTTGACTATGACATTTAACAGTAAAATTCACAGAAAATATTGATTTATCATTTCTGTGAATCCCCGTTACTGCTAATAACGATATTTCATATGTCCATCAGGTCAGCTCCAGTCAATCAGAAGAGGGGCTTCCATGGCTCGTGTACTGTGTGATAATGCGGACAATATTAAGTACATGCAGCCACGAGCTTTTGAACTAATTTCAGCTGGGTACGTATTGACGTTGCTTTATGATTTGAGGCCGCTTTAGACATAGTGGCCTAACCGTAATTTTATGAATTGAGTTTTTTATATTTTCTTCTCTAAAATTGTTAAACTTCAAACTGAGCACAGTGACGAAATTATTATTGAAAATCTTTATTTTTTGTTATTAGGCCACACTACCACTCATTTCGAAAATTAGAATTAAAATCAGACTAGAAGGCTTCTCTTTCATTTGCTTTCATTCATGTATAGAAAAGTAATAATAAAAGTGTTTATTGCTGTCAATTCAACTGTCCGTCTTTCTGTTCATTTAAGACGTCGAATCGATCACAATTATCGTGATCATATATTATTTATAAAAATTTGTATAGCAAAAATATTTAAAATAATTATCTCTCATGATTCTATTTAAACCTCTGGTTTTCCAAGTTATATTAAAACATAATTATCTAACATTGAATTAATTGAACAGTCCCACTGGGACCAAAATGTTGGGTCAAATTATAGCGTTTTGTGCTCTATTTTCAGAAACACGCCGGTTCCATGCGATCGTTTGCCCGCAATTGACTTAAGTTTATGGCAAGATGAAAGGAGAGGTTTTGGGCGGTAGTTGGAGTAGAATAATATTTTTTACCTTACTACAACAAATACATGGTGCCTTTTAAAACTCGTAAATTTTTTACGGTGACTTTGTCAGCTATGAAAATACATATAATATCTGTATGTTTGTCCATTCTAGCGCTTTAATTAACCAGGTGAAGATATATAACATATTATAACCAAAATATTTGAATGGATTTTGACCTTATGAAAAAAGTAAATAATCCTGGAAAGAACATTTTAAAATGTTTTTTATTAATGTGTGTAAAGAAATAAACTAGATTATAGTGTAAACGTCTAATAGTAAATGTTTTAAAATTCGTGCCTTTTAGTCGTTGCGTAGTCCGATGATGTATATGATCCATATGTTTATGTTTATTGTCGTGTATTCTCCGCGATATCTAGTTTCGCGAATTTAATGGGAAACTTTCGTAAATATAACGAATGTAGGTCATTGTTAATAAAGCAAATAACTTATGGTGTTATATTTTTTTTGTAATAGGTGATTCTCTTTTGAATTGTGTCTTAATTAAAAATATTAACGGTATTTTGGTATCTAAATTAATAATTAACCCGCAGACTGTAGCCTACGCACCCTTCTGAGATATAATCTGTGAATCCTTTAATGGTTATTCGGGTAGAAAACAAGCCAGTTATGAAATAACTTAAAGTACTGGCCCAAACAGCTATGTCAAAATGATGGCAAGGTACGAAAAGGGATTCCATTCCATTTCAGTCTTTTCAAAGTTCGTTATCGTTTTGAAAATATTGACTAGTCTAAGCCGCATGAATAATTAGCACAATGCACTTTTATCGGTCGATTGTTATCTAACAATCACAATTTTTCATATCTTGCTTTCCAAATGCTGTAAGATAAAAATTTAGTGTTCACTAAATTTACATTAAAGATGTTATAATTTGAAACCTATTAGATTTAAACAATAAATTATGTTTTCAATACATTGTGTTTAATTTACTATGTTTTCTACTATTTAATATAAAATAAATATACGGACTGAAACTCAACCGCGTTTCAACATGGCGACTTCAGATATTTCTAACATCCATTTAATATCTAGATTTCTAAACGACGTCCAACATGGTTCAGAAACATTATATATTATATCACGATGCGTTGTTAGCCACACACTGCTAAAATTAAACCAACGGTTCCATAAAATTAGTATTCCACTATTGAGTTCAACACAAACCAGAAGTTCTTTACTTTATCCTGTTTCCATGTCCCGGTAAGAACGATCCTTATATAATCATAACAAATACTCGAGTACGCGGGCACCGTGATAAGATCACTTGAATTATCACTTCCAATTCGTTAAGTGATAGCGACGTAGCGACGGGTTAGCCCTATCAGGAAAATCAAATTACTCCAAGGCTGATCGTTAGGGCCACAATTTTATTAACTACCCGTGCTTGGAGATAACTATTGTAGATACTTATCGAATACGCTATAAGTATCAATGTACGTAGTATAGACAATAAATGAACGATTGGGATTCCGTAGCTCAATTGTCACGGAACGCAATGGTCACGGGTTCGCGTCTTGTCCGCGTCATCGTATTTTAAATTTAATATATACTAATATTATCAAGTTGAAGAGTTTGTTTGAACGCGTTTATCTCAGGAACTACTGGTTTGAGTTGAAAATTTTCTGCCACAATAGGAGCAAAGATAAGGAAATGTGAAAAAAAAACGGGGAAAATTATTAAAAGAAACAAGAAATATGTATGACAGAATGATGCGTCTTTAGAAAATCAAAAAAATATCTTTTAAGATTTACTTGCAAGAACGACGAGACAACGTCGTGGATAACAGTTATAGAATGAAGCTCAGGACGTCGTTTTCAAAAATAAATAACAGATGCTCAAAATAAATAGGTATTTCACAGACGAAGTCGCGAATAGGATTAAACACTACGAGTAAGAAGACCACTTTGTTATGTTTTATGAAAGCCAGTTTTAAAGGTATACAAGGGCAGAAGGCAATCGACCAAAACTATGTGCTCAATCAGTAACAGACATTTTGGAATTCATTCGATTCAAAAAAAAAAGTTTAGATTCAGTAGTATTTTAGTCAATAATGCTTGAAGACTAAGAGGTGTGCTTCCTAGATATATATAATCAATTACAATGAAAACAGATGTAAAAATTAAACGACATTTTCTCTTGTAGATATAGGTTTGGTGAAAAATTAAATATTGACCTTACAAAATACACAGCAATTCACTACTGTGGATTTTGTAAGGTCAACGCTTCATAGAGGCCGAAGGAATATTGCTTTATAATTAAGTATGCAATAAATTAATTATGAGCCTGTTTAAAGTAAATTAAGTTAGCGCACTCGAAAACGCCAATTGGATTTTGGAACCATAAAGATCGTCTAGCGTGTTATTAAGTTGGTTTAATGGTTTTATTATTTTTTTAAGAAAAGGTTTTATTGTGTTGTAGCGTAAGAAATGTAAGAATGTATTGGGCTTTCTGTAAGTTTTATTTTTTTGTATTGTATGCTTACTAGAATCCACAGACAAAATAGGCGCATCTTGTTTAGATGCTATAGACAGATATATCGCCTACCACCAAGTGACCCCATCCTTGGCTGTCCTTCTCTTAAAATAAATGAAATTGCACTAATATATATGAGTCTAGTTGCTCTAGTGGAAAAACAGCGAGAAAAATAATTAACGACACCCCGGGTTCGATTACATCGGGTCCAGTATTTTATAAAATGCATTCCGATTAAACACAACTAGATCCGCGTTTCAGTTTACGTCGATACCCGAGTATCCAAACTGAAAATAAGTCGACATCACATCTTAATTAGATGTTATGTGACTTGAGTATTTTAATTTCCAAGAAGCCAACGGTAACTGAACCTGAATAGTATTTGAAAAAGGGTTAAAATTCCTGAGTAATAAGATAATAGTGCACAAAATGTATTTGGAGCCGAATTTAAAAGTATTTTCTTCTATTGTAGTATTTTTCTACCTTACATCTACGCAAGCGAAGAACGTGCGAATTCAATTAGACTCGGAGGATCTTTTGAACATAATTAAAACTCTTATCTCTAAAGATGTGCCCGTACAAAGAAGTAATTATGGTTTTCGTAATCCCTACCATCCAGAGGACGGAATGATTGATGATAACAAAGCTGCAAACAATTTTAAAACACACGACACAAGCAAAGTGCTTTTCCAAGATTATAAGTCGGAACGTACTATTGAATCGGAGAATAATGTATTTTTAAAAGATCCCAATAAAATAAGTGATGATGAGTTAGAATAGTTATAGCATGATTATAGAGAACGTATGAATAAAACATTTTTACCGGCTCACAACGCGAAACTTATTAGTTTATTTATTTTAACAACGACCTACCGATTTGCATAGTAGCAGTCGAATTCAGGGTGGGACTCCATTCGCGTTTAAGACGGTTCAAATTGTTTTATTATACAAAATAAAAACGAAGTATACACTAAGAAAAGAAAAGCAAGTGTAAACCAGAGCTAATTCAACCAATTTGATAAAAAACGTCTTTGTCCAAACATAAATGTTTACATAACTTACTTTTTAGAAACGGAGGAAGTAAATAATTTTTCATTCTATGTGTTAGTAAATATTGCCGAAGGGCAAATAAATACATCACACACTTTACATTACACATTTTATGTGTTACAACAGAAGTTTATTTAAATTGCTAACGGTTTTAGTAGGAGCATATGAGTTACATATATAACATTGTTTTTTTCTACAGAAAAATAGGAAAAATAATGTTATATATGTACCTACAACTCTTCTTACCTAGAGGGCGACATTTTTATGACAATGTTTCTTTTATAAATTATACCTTTATAAAATGTTTAAAATATTTTTCAAATAAGTTTATTTAAGATATATCACGATTTAAACCGTTAAAGATTTAAATGTATAGTCGCGTAAAAAAAAATATTGCTTAGAAAAGTCTGTAGAATTTTGTAACATATTGTCGTCTCTTTAATATATAACCAAACAGATTTACCTAAAGGTTACCTACATCATATTACACACAAGATACTCTTACTATCTAATCGTATTAGGAACTGTTTAACATACCGTTAACATAGTATTGTGGAATAATGTTGATTTCTTGGTTTGTTAATTGTACTTAGACAACAACATGTTTTCGATTGTTCCGGCATTTAAGATCTTGTTATTAAAATAAGTGGAACGCGTATTATATGTATTCAGGCGTCACAAATCAAAACAAAAGTGGATTGATCGGTAATGAAAATGTAAATAGAAACTACTCGAATAAATCTGTTAATTAGCTACGTAAGTGAAAACTCTAAATAAGTGGGTCTTGAAGCAGACACATTTTTGTGCGTGGGTCGTATTTTTACAGTGAAGTAGTTAGACATATGTTTTCAACCTGATGGATCAAAACTTTTTATTGTTGTCGCTGGGATTCGAACTCAAGTGCAAGTATTTAAACACAATTTTGTTGAACTAAGTATACAATACGTCGAGTCAGAAATCGGAAATCTATGAATAGATATGTAAAATTATTGTACTTTATTACCATTCCGAATTGTATTAGGTATATAAAAGAATCGTAATAAAACAAGTATCGACTTAAAAAAAACCTTTAAGTTAAACGGTTTTATTTTTTTGTGCACTGAAATCAACAAAAAAAAATTACATAATCATCGTGTTTTTCTAGTGTAGCTCTTTCATTTGATACCCATCTTGACGGGGTTAAGGAAAAAGTATGCGCCATATATATGTATATCCGAAATTTTGTATCGGTGGCCATCTCAGATTTATAATGTGATTGATTTTATTGTCATCTAAATTAAATGCGTGTACCAAATTTCCGATCAATCTGACAACGGGAAAATGCTGAAATTTCATTTTTTAATTTTGACCCAAATAAATAAATTCCGTACGGGTCGAGCTAAATAAAAGCGTTTAAAATAAATATTATTACAATAATCTTTCTGTTTAATAATGGTGATATCCAAAAAATAATCTATCTACCTACTTAAAGTTCAATCTACTCGTATAAACAAAATATTGATAGGAACTTTAAAAATTTCTTTATCTAGAGATAGCCTATGAAATAAATAAATAAAAATTGTATTTAATTGCTGTCCCTTTTAATTTCTTTCTTAATAAAATTAACTTAGTTAGTAAGGTAAGTGTGGTAAGTCTTAGTTTCATAATTAATATATTTTCGCTGTCGACTTATTTGGCTGCGCTAGGAGACACGATCTGTTTGACGTCCCAAAAGGTCGCACCTCCGCGAGTTTTCGCCGAAACCGCGAATTTTGACCTCACTCAACGCTCTCCTCAAATTAAGACCCAAATGCGACCTCTTCGCAGATGATTAGTCATAAATACTAAAATAATTGTCTGCCTTTGAAATTATCACCCAATGTAATTTTTAATAACCTAGTTTTAAGCGTATTTGTTAATTTGTATAAAATCGATTTTTAAGTGTAAGTATTTGTTTAACTATGTGTACCAATTAATGTAAGTGGCTATTGCCATTTCATTTGTTGTATAATAATAAAAGAAATAAATAAATTTAGCTTATTACGACCATATCACTATAAAATCAAATGTTTAAAAATGCTTGACGGAACTCGAACCCAAAGCATTGCATCTCGATGTTCAGGTAAGTAGTTTTGATTTAGTCACTAATGATATAAATTTGATTTAAACAATTTCATGGACCTATATGATGTTGTTGGCCGTATGCTATCTAAAACTGATAAAAACGTAAGATAATTTTAATAATCGTATTTATATTGAGTAATTATATTGTACTATTAATAAGAAGGACGTCCTACCGCGAGACGTTCGTGGAATCGTGCGTATACATATCATTTGAAACCTATGTGCTGAAAAGGTAGAGTACAAATTTAATTGACTTAAACGTACTGCGATGTGTAAACTCTCTTTCTTTTCTATTCTTTTGTATTACAATTGTGAATATCATAATTAAATTGTAAAGTAATTGTATATACAATATTGAAATTTCTTGGTTTTATGAAGAGCATAAAAGTTTTTCTACACAACATTTTCTATGTGATTTTGCTTGTCCAGTGAAATAAAATTTATCTATTACGTTAAAAAGTGTGAAACTCCGTTTCCCCCTCGTGGGGCATGGGGCGAACACATTTCTGTGTCCGTTTCACTGATCCGTTCTTTTAACGGGCAAGTAGTTAATCAGACTTCTGTGCCCTGCCCGGCCGAAACAATTTTATGTTTCCCTGGGATTTGAACTCAGCATCTCTCGCGCTTAACGCAATACGTTTATGCCGTTTGTCTGCAGAGGCGGTATTACGTTAAAGTGTATATGTTATGCCCAGGGTGCAAAACTGTTTATGGATCGATTTATTGTGTGATCTTGAAAAAATAATACCATTTGTTTTGCAAAGATTACTAAAGTTTCCTAGTTATTGACTAGCAACATTTTAGGTTAATTTAATACGATATGATCAAAGAATTTTCCATTTCGAGAAAACTTTTCAGTAGATAATAGACAGTAAAGCCCTTAATGATAAAACAATTATAATTTTGTTAAAATTTTATTAAATATATCGTCTGCTCTTCATAACGAAATTTTTCATTTAGTCGTTTACTATTTTAATACGTGTCATATATATCTTGTACTAACATTAACTTAACTAAAACGTGCATCGCGGGAACGTGGTCTCATTTGTCTGTAATTAAACTGTCCTGTTCCTTACTTGACGCAATATAGTTGCTTAATTTCCTAACATAGTAATTACTAAACTTGAGATAAATTTATATACCAATACCTGGCCAGAAAGAAACGATGCGACATAAAGGCGAAAGAGAAAGCGACTATTCGCGCGACTTATCGCTTACTCCGTACTGATTTATACTTTAGTTTAGCTGGTCGTTTGCATCGTCTGTCGTTGCTGTACATGATTTCATAGGTCAATTTTAATATTCATTTGTTTTAGTCGCTAGCCGCGCGTCGGCGAGTATTCTGTGGCTAGGTTTGAGTTCGTTTGTGTTCTGATAGCAATATATGGTTGTGGCTTCGCTCACCACAGAGTCCAACATTTTTCTAATTATTTTTTATTTTTTTTTGAAACATATTGGTCTTCGTCTGGTAATCTGTATATTAAATGGGTAGTAGGTATATTGAGATTTCGTCCGTGATACGCACCACCGACCACATGGAAAAGCCGTGAAGTTTAATCGCGATTCGGTGTCAGTGCGTGATTTCGAAATATACAAAGCCGAAATAGGTCAACAGTGCATCATCTTTAGATGTTATATGATCACCAATCTTCAAGTAGTTTTACCTATTTATTATATGAGAACAATATTTCTTCCCCAATATGCTGTATTAAAAATAGGACACCAACGCACTTTTTTTATCGTGTTTTTGATAAAGTACAAATTGTAATATATCGCGTTTTAAACCGTTAAAGTGTTTTATTTAAATGTGTACTACTCGCGTAAACTATAGACAGTATTTAAAGTATAAATTGGTTTTAGGGTTTTCTTTATTTACGCTTATAATAATTACATTGCACATTTTTATCTTAAAACGTATGATAACGATAATGATAAATTTAATTAGCCCATATTAATTACACGGCTCAGCGTAGTATCAAAACGTATAATAACAAAGTTAATATTATAAAATTATAAGGAAATTACTTACATATTAAGTCTCTTTATTTATTTAAAATCACTCACTCATATGTGAGATAAGATTTATCGATATAGATAATTCTGATTAAAAAACTACCAAACTTCTTAAATGTTAATATCAAAAAAACATCTACATAGATATATCGGCGCAAAACAGGCAATGCGTTACGTCATCGCTGCACGTGTTCCTAAAGGCGTAAACAAGTGACTCACGTCGGTCGCTCCACTGAAATCCCCCACTACGTGCTTATATAAGGCCGTCCGTTGTAGCGCAGGGCACTTTTGGAAGGACGGCGCTCTGAGAGCGAACGTCTAGTCTATAGCTATTTTTATTATTCAATTATAAAAGTGTTTCAATAGTAAAAATGGACCACTCTAACAATATTGACAATTATGACGTCGGTGCTGCCGACGTCACCAATTTTAAAAACAATTCTGGATCACATACTTCGACATCAGAAGTGGGATTACCTACCTTCTCCGCTTAATAGCCTGATACAAGGAAATTTCATACTGGAAATGGCAATGATGGAATACCGGTGGAAACCTCAGCTCCAACACTTGCACTTTGTCAAAAAAGAAACTCAAGAGTTAGAAACCTTGGCAGTGGATTCATCCATGGTGGACATTTCTACAAAATTATGATTTCGATATTGAATATCACAAGGGTTCAGGGGTTCAAGAACCCAGCAGAATTTACAGTTAATGTAATGACCTATGACCTTGTCTGGTTAAAAATTAAAAAGTCTTCAGATTGAGACAATCTGACAAATCCCGGTGAGTTCCATTTAATCTGTTAACCTAGCGAGGCGCAATACTTATTCTTCACTTCATTTAGTCCTTTGACTAATCCTAATAATATTATTGCTCTTAGCGACTGATCGTTAATGAGTCAATCATAAATATTATGTGAAAAGATGCACGTTGGGGTATTGGAGCCCACCAACGGCCAAAAAAAAAAAATAATAATAATGTGAAAAGATGCACGTTGGGGTATTGGAGCCCACCAACGGCCAGCGGTAGCGAAATCCTATCCGAAAAAAAAAATAAAATAATTTATTCCCCTGTGTCCGCGGCGCTCAGGACCGCCTAGATCACAGCATCGACCTAGTCAAATCATCCTTTAGAGCCTCTGCTTTATGCAGCATCGCCCTGTCTCCAACCTATCCTTACCATGTGTTGTCTATAATTGTATTCGCTATCCGCCTACACATTAAAAATACGAAACTGTTGTCATGTGGAATGAGCAGTTCAATAAAATTAAAAATATGAAACTGTTGTCATGTGGAATGAGCAGTTCAATAAAATTAAAAATACGAAACTGTTGTCATGTGGAATGAGCAGTTCAATAAAATTAAAAATACGAAACTGTTGTCATGTGGAATGAGCAGTTCAATAAAATTAAAATATAAGATCACCAATATCATTAGTCCTTAACTGTTGTCATGTGGAATGAGCAGTTTACTTAAATAAGTCACCGTTTACAATAGCAATTGATTTAAACTGTTGTCATGTGGAATGAACAGTTAATTAAAATGACCTTTTACCAATATAATTTGTCACTGTAACTATTGTGATGTGTTACACGACAATAGTACCACAGGGTACACGACAATAATACCACAGAGTGCGTGACTTTGGTGTCACAGTGTATGTGACAACATAAGACTACAGTATACACTAAACTCAGTCAGATATGTATCTTATTGCTGACCATAATAATTATTAGCAACCTGGTTCACAGATACCAATCTCAAAGATTAAAATTTACCAGTTTCAGAAATTAATATTCTTCAGTAAAACACCAAAACGGCTAGTGCAGAGCGCGCACAGCCGGTCAGGATGGTCGTATCGGCGCAAAACAGGCAATGCGTTACGTCATCGCTGCACGTGTTCCTAAAGGCGTAAACAAGTGACTCACGTCGGTCGCTCCACTGAAATCCCCCACTACGTGCTTATATAAGGCCGTCCGTTGTAGCGCAGGGCACTTTTGGAAGGACGGCGCTCTGAGAGCGAACGTCTAGTCTATAGCTATTTTTATTATTCAATTATAAAAGTGTTTCAATAGTAAAAATGGACCACTCTAACAATATTGACAATTATGACGTCGGTGCTGCCGACGTCACCAATTTTAAAAACAATTCTGGATCACATACTTCGACAGATATTTGTTTTAAAACATGTAAAAATAACTGTGAAATTAAATTTTTTTTTTTTTTGTAACTTTAGGTACGTTCCAAATTCAAATCCCGGTATTTCAGATAATATTATTCATGAAAGGATTTAAGGCAATTGACTGTGTAGAAAAACTAATCAGTGAAGTAGATACTCGCACAATGCTGTGTTTGCGAAATACTTCGGGGACGAGGATCACTTTTCCATTTAGATTAGAATTGTAATCGATACATCGGTAAATACAATAAAAAAAGACCATACTGGTTTAACTTTTGAAATATTTTTTATTTATTTTAGTTAAAATAAGAGTTGTGTGTAACAACTTTAAGTCTAAGATATTACCTTACTGTTTTCGACGAACACATTCTTCACATAAAAATGCCCGTGTTTGTTGAAGACAAGCTTTAAATAAAACAAACATATTTTTCAATTAAAAATAGATTGCTATAATTGACATATATTCAATAGGTTGAAAAACGACTATGACGTGTAGGACACGGTAGAAATTGGTTCGAGGAACAGCATAGAACACTGTGGATGCCGGTTCTAATCCTGCCTCTGTCTTAAAATTAATTTTTAATTGATAATACCGTCCGTCATGTGCAAGATGTGAAAAATATTTTAAACGCATGTATTACTTTACATAGCACCTTCAGAACAAGGGAATTACCCAGATGTAATGTGACATATTTTTTTACTTTTCAAACAATATGAAAAATTATCGAAAACGGTCGGATAATTATTATAAAATTTTTGAAAAGGCATGTAATTATTTTAAGATTGGAATGGGAAATTTCGTCGTAATACTCAACAATTATTCATAAATTTGTTCAGCTTCAAGATGCCATTAACATCGCATTTCGGAATATTCAATCTTAATGTACTTTTGTATTAGATTATATTTCCCCAATAACGTTTTCCCGTTATTGAGAAATTCCCGTTTTGTTTGCTACCATTACCTTGGATAATTGCTTCTTTAGTGAGTTCCTAACTACAATAACTGCTTAACTTTTCTTAAGGATAAAAGTCATATTATAACACATACTACTGGTTACTAGGTAGTTGTTTTCGATTCGTCGTCCTTGAAGAAGATCAGGGAAATATTATATATGGTCTAAATAATAAATAAAAGACTTGCAGCAGATCTTGGATGAAACAAAATATATTTCATGCATATAAACCTACTAGTCACATCATGCACTAACTACCACCGTAGCTGAATTATCTAAACGTCCCTTAGTCCTGAATTCAATAAAAGAAAGTTTGCTGAAAATAGAGTACTGAAGGTTTGGCCAGAAATACAATAGTTTTTCCTGCCTTATGATGAGCACTTGGTGCTTTTATTTCAGGTTTAAAACGCGGAATATATTACTTTAGTTATTTTCCTGTTGCGTATACTCAGCTGCGGTCACAAATGATCGTGTGTTAAATAGGTTATTTACTTAAGACAATTCTTTCAGATAATACAGATGGTTAAGGCTCTCATTCTACTGGCGGCCTATGCCGTCGTGGGAGGTAACTGTTACTCTAACTACTTGAATGGTAAAGAGTTACCGGCTATTGAGTTTGGGTAAGTTTATATTAATAAAAACATACCATTAATTAATGTATAGCGCTGAAACACTTCTTTAGATTAGAATGGTTAGAATTATTACAAAGAAGCAATTATCGGATCTTTGCTGGAAATATAATTTTTTAAAAAGCTCAGTTGGCACAAAAGACTACGTTGTTCCACCTAATGGGTAACTGAATTTTATTGTACTACTTTTTTTGATGAGCTCGCTTATCTAACGATGACAATGTATGTGTAAATAATAATAATAAACGGGTCGTGGGGAAACCATGTTTCTAATGAATTTGCAATTTTTCTGAAACATTAGACTTCATTTGGAGATCTAAATACTAAACGGGTGGTAGAAATATTGAAAATTCATCCAGGTCACGGACCACCGTCCCCAGGTGAAAAAGTCGTGAAGTTTTATCGCATTCCGAAAATAGGTCGATAGCGTATCTTTTTTAGATGTTATATGGCTGGGGTACTTCACTTACCTTCAAAGGAACCGCACGATTATCTGTCTTCCTCTATCATTAAATATTATAAATCAAAAGCTTGGTTATGTAAGAAATAGGTTGCATTATATTGCGCTTATTTAACTTCTGTAAATAATCTTTACTCGTATTAATAATAATAACTACTAACGACTATTACTATTTAAATAAAACATTTTAACGGTTTAAAACGCGATATATTAGTTAAACTTATTTGAAAATGATTTTTTAACTTCGGCCCGACGTTTCGGTTGCTTTGCAGCAGCCGTGGTCACGGGGAGACAAACGAAACGTCGGGCCGAAGTTTAAAATCATTTTCAAATAAGTTTAACTAATATATCGCGTTTTAAACCGTTAAAGTGTTGTATTTAAATGTGTACTACTCGCGTAAACTATAGACAGTATTTGACTATTACAATTATTTAATACTTTGTTTTATTAACAGTGACTTTCAAGATAAATTACCAAATGCTCGAAGCAACGGAAACAGGTAAATTATTGATTATATAATTCTTACTAATATGTAGATAGTCAGATCTTTGCAGTTAATACTAAAAACGCCATATAACTTTCAAGTTTGAAGTTACATAAAATAATAAGTTAAGACTCTGGCACAGTAATGCGTTACGTTACAAGATGTTTAGCTTCCTCTAAAAAGTTTTTTGTAAAATTCAATTTTCTATATTCGCTTTACTAATCGGTTTTATCAACAGGCAAGTAGTTGATTAGACTTAATCGCCGTGCCAATCGAAACAATCTATCGTGGGATTCAAACGCAAGACCGTTCGTGCTTAACGTGTGCTATGCGACGCATTCATTAGAGGTGGCTTGAAGTATTTAAGGAGGGTTAAAACTTATTTTACACGTAACAAAGATTACTTCAATATCAAACCTCCTTATATTAAATTCCAGGGCCGGAGGCTGTATATATGCTCAGCGTATGAGACCAACAAAGTATGAGATCGTTTCTCAAAGCTGCGTCGTCCCGCCGGAATCTTGTGAAAAGTCCCGCTATAGGACCTATGATGGAAGCTGTAACAACCTCGAAAATCCCGGCTGGGGTATACCGCAACAGCCTTACAAGCGGCTGCTACCGTTTAACTACGCTGATGGTATGTTATACTTTTTTGCGATATTTACTTAGTTTAAGCGAGTAGTATACCTACATTATAAGAAAACACGTTAACGGTTTATATCGAGAAATGTGTTAGGTAAACTTGTTTACAAATTATTTTAAATACGACCCGACGTTTCGGATGCTTTGCAGCAGCCGTGGTCACGGGGAGACTAAACAGTTCTTAATGTCAAAGTAAAAATTGCTTCGCTAGCGGCCAGTTTCGGCAAAAGCTAACTACAAAGCATCCAAAGCGTCGAGCCCTAGTCTCAAGTTTAACTTATATATTTCGCGTTTTAAGCCGAGTTTAATAGTCAATTTAGGATTGAACATAAGGGAATTTTAAATAAATTTTTTAAAATAAAATTTGATTATTTGTCTTTCGAGAAAAAATCTCACTTAAAATTTATCATAAATATCAAACAAACGATAAGCAAAAATCTATTAAGTTTTCATTACTTGTAACAAAACATATAGATAACATTTGTTTTCAAAATTCATTCGAAATAATTCAATAGTTTCGAACTATCTGGAAATTGAAAAGCCTTTGTTGAATACTTTTACAATAATTCACATACAATTCGCGTTTGAAGCGGCGTTCAAACGCGAAGTATTTGATTTGACACCTGTAATTAATTTAAAATCAAGAATACTCTCTGTAGTTTACGCGAGTAGTCCACATTTAAATAAACACTTTTTCGGTTTAAAGTCGGATATATATTAGTTAAACTTATTTGAAAATTATTTTAACTACTTCCCGACATTCCGACCACGGCATAATTATTCATAATTTTCTACAGTCTAGTTCGTTTGGTTTTAAGGAAGACAACTGTTCACTCTGAAGATAGTGCAGATTTTTATTTGTAGGTATAAGTAAATTCCCCGTGTCTGTAACTGGCGAAGAATTGCCAAACGTTCGTGAAATCAGCCAAACCGCATTTCCGGACAAAGTTGTACAGGATCCAAAATGGAATTTGAACGCTCAACAATGGGGGCAATTTGTCTCGCATGACATGTCACTTACTGCATCGAGTGAGTATAAAATTATTACACTAGCTGTTTCAGTGACCATTTTAAAATAGATATTTAAAATTTTCTCAAAACCTATTTTTTAACCAACTTAATTAAATATGACATTTTTATGTGTTAGTTTTACGAAATTTTGTTTTCAACACAAGTCAGGATTTGAACTGACTAATGTTATTAGAACTTACTACCAAAGGTTATATATATATTATGAAGTAACAAAATACATCATCGCCCTTCAAAATATTCCACGACTTCAAACAGTTTCAACTCAGTACTAACAATTAATTGTTGAAACAGAACTTGAATCATGTTAATTTGCTTACATCGATGTTGCCGTTTGCTATAGTCAATTGTTTTTGAAACATTAAACGCTAAGCGACATATTGTAGCGGTTTCTGTAAAATAATTTTAAGTAAGTAATAATCATAATAGTTATTGCACTGTTTGAAAAACTTATAATAACATCTGGTAAGTCATTGTGTATGTCTTTCGACCGCAATAATTCTTATTTTTGTGGGGATTCATGCATTTATATTAGCCATGAAAGCTACAGCTTATTTGTAGTTCCAATCTAATCATGTTCCGTATCGGGGCTTAGGTCTTCGCTCTCATAGGTAAAGGGGTTTTGCTTACTAAGCATGATTCATTGCACATTATCTGACTTTAGCATCTACATCTCCGCTACTAAATTAAAGATGTAACCGGGCCCAATTGTATGTGTTCTCCGAGATATTAGGCATAGCCGTAAGAAACAAAACTCATAATTTAATCTTTACAATCATCATGGCATTAATATAAGTTGAAAAAAATTGCCAACATGAGCGAGACTTGAACTATAAAATAAATACAGTTTATTTATCATTGTTGTTGAAACAATCGTGTAGACACATTAACTCTATTGGTTTGTGCAGAACGCTGTGTATGCCTGTTCGTGCGTTTGTTTCTTTCAACTTTAATAGATTTTTATTTCACAATTTAACATCCATTTCAGCTGATAGCAACGCAGTATGTTGCGATGCTAATGGTCAATTGGGCCCAGATGCGTTCACAGACCCCGTTTGTGCTCCCATTATCATCCCGTCAAATGACACGACACACGGACCGCAAGGAACGCAGTGTTTGAACTTTGTCAGGACTGTTACTACTCGTGACAGAAATTGTACGTCATCAGATGCTCCTGCGCAGCCGGTACGAAAGTATTAAACTATTATGTGTGTATAAGCGGTTATTTTATAAATTGTATAAGTATTTTCTCGCCATTTTCTTTTGTTATTGGTAGTCGTAATTGAGAAATATTTCGCCCTCAAAGAAAATATACTGTCTTTCTGTAATATACTGTCTGATTGTAAAAAAATAACGAAACCATTTAGCTTTCTATTTTTTAAATGATATTACTATTGTAAATATGGTAGTTGACAGAAAACTACTGACTGGCCAAAAGAATTTCATACAAGTTCAAAATATAAATCTTCTTTTAGATATCTGTAGTTAGTGCATATATGGACTTATCAATGGTATACGGTAACAGTGAAAGTCAGGCAAACGAACTCAGATCGTTCCAAGGAGGTAGATTGCTCACGGTTGTGAGAGATGGTCGCGAATGGCCACCACAGAACCCCAATGTGGCAGATAATTGTGGACGAGTCGAACTATCGGATGAGCCTTGCTACCTAACCGGTAATGACGTCATTTTGTTACAGTACTATTATATAATATAATTAAAATAAACTTTTGAACAATTCGATTCGATGTCTCGATTAAAACAGATTTTAATTTTCACGTTCTCTTCGTTTGTATGTAACTAGTGTATTCTTATATTACTCCATTTCTTTGGCGTCATATTTGCTCTAGTTATTTGAATAGACTTAGATAATTAATGACAGTTAGTTAGAAACATGAACCGCACTGAGTATATCTAATATGCTTTACAGTAAAAATATTGAAAGTAATGCAAAGAGCAGACATTAATATTTTTAACATAAATTAAGATTTTATAGGAACTAAAAATGTCAAGTTTGATTTTGAGATTACAATTATTTTAAATATTCTTTTTATAAGTAAGTAAGTAGTTTCTTTTTTTAGACTACTTTAGTACCAGAAACTATTAAACCATCAATATTATTTAGCCCATTTAGAAAATCGAGTCAGTAGACTCCTACTGACTCGATTTTCTATTATCGATATTTCTTTTCTTGATTGTTATATAGTCTTTTAATACAATAGGTGACAGTCGTATGAATCAGAATCCACAACTGGCGATTCTACATATCGTTCTTCTTCGTGAACACAATCGCATAGCAGACAGCCTGGCTGCCTTGAACCCCTCGTGGGATGACGAGAAAATCTTCCAAGAAGCGAGAAGAATTCATATCGCTGAGAATCAACATATTAACTATTATGAATACTTGCCAGTATTTTTAGGTAAGATCAAAACTAAATTAAAATTTATATGTCTTACCTGAGCAAACGTAAATAAAAGGTTATTGAACACTTAGTTAGATGAAGTTTCGTATAATTTAAGAAGAAATTACTTACAAAACTTTTAACACTATTTTACAAGAATTAGTTACATTTTATGTAGAAGTTAAGTACTATTCTCGTTTATTAAATGCTATCGAGGTCTGCTCATGACTTGAATAAAAGGTTTAAAATTTGTCTCCGACGAGACCACAGCTCGTAAATCGATTTAGAGTTTTAACCAATCTATCATTACAGGCCTAAGGAATTTTCGCATTAAACGAAAAGCATTGAGAAAATGTTTTTAGAATCCCAATTAAGTACGCTTATTGAGCACTCAGGCTTTAAGGGAATTTTTCGTTACAGTGGTCCACGCGCTACCTTTGTTTCAACATTTACTTTAATTAGAACATAAACTAATTATATAGAAGTTTTTATTTAAATACAGTCTGTATGTTACGCGAGTGGTAAATATTTAAATAAAACATTTTAACGGTTTAAAACGCGATGAGTATTGTTAAACATTTGGAAATGTTTTAAAAACTGCCCGGCGTTTTGGATGCCTTATAGCAAATACAGCCAAAGTCCGTGATTGTTTTATTTAAAGGGTTTTATGTACTTTTGTGTTAGTTATTTGTCTGATTTCAAGTAATCCGACAGTTTATTTTTTTTTTAGTTTTATTAGAAAATTTCATAAATCAATTATTCTTTAGTAGGCCCCAACATATTATTTATGTCAATTGTAAATTTTCTGGTCCTCCAGGTAATGACTATTTGGTAAAGCATAAATTGATATATCCTGAAGCTGAAGGTTATGTTGATGATTACGACCCCAAAGTAGACCCTGCTGTTTCGGATGAGCACGCAACTGCTGCTTATAGGCATTTCCACACACTGATTCAAGGATACTTACAGTACGTATGATTTATTTTGTGCTCTTCAAAGAATAATACCATGAAAATAATTAAATAGACCGCATAAAATAACGACAAATATCACCTACCTGATTTAGCTAACATGATACTCATAAGGCAACATTTTTAACAAAAATTGGACACCTGTAAAACAAAAAATATTATAACATATGTACAATAGTTTGCCTATAGTCGAAGGCTACACAGTAATTTTTGGCCCAATATAACAAAGTTAATAGAACATTTCTTCCAAAGATCTCTAAACTTAAAAACATAAACGGAACCTCATATAATAGACGACTTCTTACAACTTTACAATTTGTTCCTTATTTAAATTAGAAGAATAGAATCGCTAAAGTGTCAAAATTAATTCTCTTTTAGTTTGATAACGGAAGACAGACAATTAGAAGCGTATACCCGATTGAGTGATTGGTTCAACCGACCAATTATAGTGGAAGTGAGGGACTTCTTCGATAAACTGACTTTAGGTTTAATATCTCAACCGCAATCCTTGAGAGATCAATTCTGGGATAGCGAAGTGACACAATACCTGTTCCGGTAAGTGTTTAGGATGATCCCCAATTAACTTCCTATTTCGTCACTACCTTGGTTATAAGACCTCTGGTAGTGATGTTGTAGATTGTAAGGGCTCGTACATACGTGCAAAATGGAGAAGGAATTAAGCATACATTCTATAAAGTTTCACTACCATTGAACTAAACCGAAACAAAGTTTAGGAAAGTCCAAAGACCTTCACTAATGTTTTTTTAATTATTTAATTTATTTTTTTAATAATACAATCCCAATACTTACTTAATTTAATTAAATGATTCAGTTTAAGTTTTAGTTCGTCATAGGTTTTCCTTAAAATGATCGTTAGTCCTTTGTCATAAAACTTAATTTAAATAAAGCATCCGTAACGTTGCATCGTACTTAAATTAAATTAAAAATTACTGAGAGATGACTATACTTTTCATTTCAGACCGTTAAAAATGTTTTATTTAGTCGTGAATTTCTTTTACGAATACGTATATAACACAATCTTTAAAAATATACTTTCAACTAGTAACTTGTGTTGTAAATAGTTAGGTACTAGTAGTAGTAGTTTTTTCTTTTATATATAAAGCAAGGCGCTGCTTTATATATGCAAATTTTTGCATATATAAAGCAACGCCTTGTACCAAAATTGAGTAACACGTAGTATGATGTATCTAATTCACAAGTCGAATGTAGACACTGCCATACATAGTAATTGATTATGTGATTGATCGTGGTTTGGTTTAATTTTAGTTTGTATTACGTCCACGTGTACTTTATTTTCAGACAATATTAACAATTTTGTTACTTACACAAAAGTGTTAGGAATTCTGAACTTATTTTTTTGGCTTTTATAATCGATATAAGGTGTTAAGTCATTAAGTCATAAGTATACACTTATTATTTACTCGACAGTAGATCATCCAGATAATATAATAAATTAATTTTGCAAAGACATTAAAGACTGGGAAAAATGTGACTAGCGCACATTGGCAAATTTTACTTTACATTAAAACTATTTTAATATAACCTTGAAAATCCTCATGATTCCTCGCTTCATAACCACTATCGTATTATCCACATGTAAAGACAAAATGTAAAGTGGAATTACTATATATGAATGTCGTACGAAATATATTTTCATTTCATAACAATTTTAGTCGTAACCGAACATTCGGATCCGATCTTCGATCTCTTGACATCCAACGTGGTCGTGATCACGGATTAGGAAACTACATCGACACGCGTTCAGTGTGTGGTCTACCAGTGCCTACCTCCTTCCAGGACATGACTGATTATATATCGCAACCTGTGAGTAAAAGTTTCATTTAAAGTTTTTAAGTGTTGATTTGAGTTTTAGCACAAAGAATATGGTTCAGGCTGGTTACTTGTATGACTTATGTGCGTTTTTTTTTAAATCTAGCGGAGGCCAGACAAGTATAAGGTTCACTCGATGGGAGGTGATTTACTCCAGCCATAAAACATCTAAGCAAGATGCGTAGTCCACCTGCTTTGGCTTTGGATATTCAGAAAACGCAACACCTCAGGGCTTTTCCATCTGTGGACGTTGGTTCGTGACCCGTGTGGAATTTCGATATTCCGATAACCCATTTGATGTCCTACATGTTTCAGAAAAATTATAAATACAAGAATTAGACCCACGACCCGTTGATTACTAGCCATACATACTAGTGGTACCTTTTAAAATATATTCAGTAATTATTCTCTTGTTATATTTATCAGGCAAATATTTAAAAGGACTGATCCCAACAAATTTTTTATGTTTTAGAATGTTGATATCCTAGCCACCATTTACAAGGATATAAGAGATGTAGAGCTTTTTGTCGCTGCTTCGTTAGAGGAAAGCGCACCAAATACAGAAGTTGGACCAACATTCTTATGTCTGCTTGCCGAGCAGTTCTACCGGACTAGAGTTTCTGATAGGTACTTCTACGAAAACGGTGCTGATCCTGAAATAGCATTTACACTAGGTAAGTTAATAGTACAGTCTTTAAATCAGAAACTTTTTGAATATAAACATACTTTAGTTATGTTTCCATACCTATTTAATATTAGCTTTAAATTAAAAATAATACGTATAATTTTATCAGAATATTCATATATTTTCTATTATTTGTGTAATACGTTTATTTTTAACAGGCAATTAGTTGATGAGACTTCTGTGTCCTGCCTGACCGAAACAATTTATTGTTTCTCTGGAATTCGAACCGGACCTCTCGCGCTTAACGCAAAGCTGGGCAATACGTTTAACCATTTGGCTACAGAGGTAGTAACTTAATGGCTACGGGTAAAAAAGAAAATAAATACTGTAGTTGAAGTAAAACCAATCTTTAAAATCACTTAACTCGCATTGTACGTGAGCCAAGCTTTTACGTAACATTAAATAGCTGTTTTGATGTTCCCCAAAACTTTGATAACCCTATTTTGTTGGCAACATAAAGTAAATTCTAATTTTATAGCTTCGATTTCTAAGTTTATTACGACTTTTGTTTTATGAAGGATTCATCTCAAAGAAGCAAAGAAATAAATAGCACTGTTTGCTTTTATTTGAACAAAACTTATTGCTTATATAAACTGAAGAGTTTGAATTATTCAATAAATAAATTTGGGTATTTTAATTAAGAACCGAGTATCCAAGGGCTTCTTATCAAATATAGATTTAATTTCTTACATCTTCATTAATGCTTCGTCAAAGATATCAAAATGGAAATGTTTGTCGCTATATGTCACGGTTGATTAATACTCAAACTTCCAAGTGCGAGTCGGAATTGAGCAAGAAGTGTTCCGTACGTGTATAAAATAGCGAAATGAAAATAGTACACATTTAAAAACTTTAATACTTTTCACATGTTATTGTTATTACACGGTACACATTATGACACGGTAGCTCAATTGGTTAGAGCAACAGCACGGAACGTTGTGGATGCCGGTTCAAGTTCTGCCCTTATCGTACATTTTTACAATTTATAATATTTTTTTAATAAAACACCTTAAACGGTTTTAAATGCGAAATTATATGATAAGCGACACTCTTGGTCGCCATACACACTATCCGAAGCGTCTCGGGCCGTATAAAATAATATCTACATAATTTAACGAATATATATCTCGTTTAAAACCGTTAAAAAATAAAATAATTATGAAAAGTGTATAAATGTTCAATTTATTCCGTATTTGTTCTGTTAGTAACAACCGAAACAAAAAACTGAAGAAAGGTTTTTTTTTATGTTTATTGTCTCTCTCTTAATAATTAAATTACAAATAATAATGAAAGAAGGTATTTCAAATATGTAGCTATCGCAGTTTTTGGCGTTCAAAAAACCTTGCGATAGTTACAAGGAAATAGTTCTACTCCACGGGACCCTGACTTAAGTAATTTGCATATTGTGGATAATATGTAAGCTATAGCTTTAATACGTTTTAGATCAACTCCGCTCAATACGAAGTGGGTCATCTATGGCTCGGCTCCTGTGCGATAACGCGGACAAAATTCAGTTTATGCAGCCAAGAGCCTTCGAGCTGGTATCAGAAGGGTTGGTATTAAAATTTTGAAAGACTTCTATATATTACATCAATATTGAACTACTGTTATTCCAAGAGTTAATGATACCTTGGTAGGGACTGGAGACTTTTATTATAAACTAGCTGTTACTCACGACGTCTTACGTCCCGTCAACCTTGTAAGTTAATCTTCAAAGATAGACATGTCACAGACATTTTTTATATAATTAAAAGAGGAATCATTCTTTCATATATGTATATTTTTGGTTTCTTGAATTATTTTCGAAGCGCACGTAACGGAAGCTATGAATTTTCTTCGCTCTTTTTGTTCGCAGCGTGTCATATAGCTCGAAGCCTTCTTCGATAATTTTTCAATTTAAACGAGTTATATTTCGTAAAGAAATAAACTCTTTGGCTTTGTAATATTAATATAGATATATGCTACTAGTATAAAGCTGAAGAGTTAGTTTGTTTAAACGCCCTACAAATAGGGAATATATAACTAACGCTAACGCTAACTAACACTAACGGAAGCCTAAAGATGAGGCATCTTTGAGGGCTTCCTTCCCGCGCGTTAGTGCGCTGCGAAAACTGTAAAAAAAACAAATACTATGTACATATATTAGAATGTTTCCTCATTAAATTTTCTAAAAAAATATCCACAATTGTATGTCTCCCTTTTAAGAACTATTTAAAAAAAATATATATTATAATTAAATTTATTCGAAATTGCCTTATTACCAATTATATGGTAGAGCTGAAGAATAATGTTAATCTTGCAAACCACAAAACATATCCAAATTATACTTACATGAGAAATATAATACTTATTTGTTTCAGAAATGTGCCAGTTCCATGTGATAGCTTACCTAAAATAGATTTGAGCTTATGGCAGGAATAAAGCAGAAGCAGTCCAACTTAAAGACTCTCTATGAATAATAAAAAAATGGTATATATAAATAACATTGCAATACTGTGTCGTAATGTATAACTAGACATTTTCATGATAATAAAATTATACGTTATAAATATTGAAATTAAAGTTAATAAACAATTAAACGAAACATCTTTAATGCTACATCCTAAACTCAATTGTTACATAGCGATTACGGCGAGAAGTTCTCGGTTCGACTCCCAAGCATTTATGATAAATATTTGCCTTACCATAAATCATATTTACATGGAGGAAGGGGATTTTGTAGTTTTATTATATACTAATGGGTAGTAAATCTTTCGATTGTTAATTCACGAAATGAAACCTTATGAATTGCTAAGTGATGAGGGTTAAACTGATTTCACTTGAAGGGTCTTTACCTGAAATTTTGAAATTCTAATCAAATTAATTCGATGTCAAACCGTTCACAAATACAATTGGCTGACAAGCGATTATTCTATATTATAAAGATTTGGCCTGAATTGTTTTAATTGGAGCCGAGTGATTATGATAGTATTTTTAGACGTGTTAGATAATTCATAAGCACTTTAAATCTTTGTAAAATAAATATTTTTGTGATGCTTTGGTTTTATTAAATATAACATTGATAGATACGTGTTTTTAAATATTTTTTACTACAAAAAAAGACAAAAACTGAGATGATAGTTGGTACTCGTCTCAGCTATTTTCTGTGAGATGTTACACTTACCACCTCTAGTCTATTTCAAGTTGATTTTGACAGATACATTTGATGAAGGGATTTCTGTAAATTTTATATTTAGACCTAACAATCTTAATAGAAAACTGTTTTCGGCACGTTATGAGTTTATTAATTTACAAGGCCGTCATTTAATTCGGGTTATCATGCCAACGCATCAAAGTTAGCAATAGTCGTAAAACACAATTAAGTTTCGCCATTGAAAGTGCAGTTACCGTTTGTCAAGAAGTGAACTATGTTAACGAACTGGCATTCAGCCATTAGAACAATTTTAATGGGATTAAGACGTTTAATTTTCTATATTAACCTGGAGAAGAATATTTTTAATTAAACAAACGTTGAAGGATGTTTAGTTACCGCATTTGATCAATGTTTATGTTTGAAGATATTAGGGTTTCGTTACATTCACAGGGATTATGGGTGCTAGTCCCCCCTTTTTTACATCATTTAAAGAGGATTTATTCTTTCCTTCATATTTATTGGGTATGTTGAACCGTTTTGCAGCGTACGCCTCGGAAAGCCATAATGATGAATAATTTTCCCCTATTTTTTACATTACCCGTTGTTTCCTTGCTCCTATTAGTCAAATCGCTCTACCTAATAAATGCTCTACCCAAAACAAAATTTTTTCAATTCGAACCAGTAGTTCCTGAGATTAGCGCGTTCAAACAAACAAACACAAACAAACTCTTCAGCTTTATATATTATTATAGTTAGATTACATATTATAAAACCTCTTTAATTTATATAATGCACAGAATGTGTTTAGCTTCTAAATTCAATATTAAATAATAATTTTAATGTTCACCAACAGTACCGTACATGAATTTGTAAACGACAGACGGAAAAGAGAACTTGCAAGACTTCTAATACTATCTCCCTCTAAATTTTATCGTAAATCGCCATCAATTTCGATAAAAATATCACTCTTTGAATTGTGCTCGAGTGTGCAAAAATATATTATCGTTCGAACGCGACACGTTGATCCATGAAATAATGTGTGTCGTTTATCAAAATAATATATACTACGTGGAAGTGCGAAGCATCTCGGAAAATATTGTTTACTGTATGTTTTGGGAAGTGGATAAATCACAACGCTTTACCCTTTTTAACTTTTGTTGTTCTACACGTATCATAACTTACGCCGTCGTACTGGGCTGTCAATCGACGTGTTATTTCACCGAAGAATATGATTCAAAATGTATATACATACTATAAACCATATCTCAAGGTAAAATTTAAAATGACGAATGATTGCTGTCCAGCCCCATGTAGGTCCTAGCCTTCTCTAGTCGCCTTCGCCATCGCGATCTATCCCATGATTTCTGTGCCCAGTTTTGGACGCCCAAGATTTCGAGGTCCTTAGACTCGGCCTCTCGGGCTTCCGTTTGCCTTCTGGTTGAAATTTCAGCAAAGATCTTGGTGCTCTTTCGTCAGCCATTCTGTGTACATGTCCCAGTCATTTAAGTCTCGTGTTTTTAATGAATTGGACGATATTGGCGTCACCCAGGATGTTGTATAGCTAAAATGAAAAATTATGTTCCATAAAACTTTCATAATTGCCTGTATTTAATGACTGGACTGCGTGAAACAGATGCTGCATTGAAATGTTTAATTATTTTATTTGAAAATAAAACTAATTTAAGCGAGTGTCGTTCTTGTCTAGACATAGACAGTTTGAAACAGTGCAGTCGTAAATAGCACTAAGACGTTACTTAAATAAAAGTAAAAAACTTCAGTGTTGTTTCACAGGCACGATAGCGTCAGTAATATTTTACTTCGATGCCATGGACGTCTAAGACTATGGGCAAGAGTCCAATTCCAATCTCGTTACTCCATTTATTTCTTGATCTTATATTCAAACCACTGACACCAAACATTTCCTTGTCTTACATAAATTTATTTTTGTATTCAATGATTCAGAGATGGGAAGTGGAAATAAATATATATTGTTACTATTATAAAACTCACAATGAAAAAAAACACACTACATTTATACAAATTATCACTAAGTTGGTATGCATCGATTGTAACGCTTGTATGAAACTTTGACGTTGGTTTAATTATATAGCAAAGTATAAGAACTCATCTGCCTTAATAATGTTCAATATCTGCAGGCTCTTTGGAATTAATGAGATAGTCTAAGGGTTGGAAAGGGGGGAAGTATCTATTTTACGGTGAGAGCCGCGGGTTGAGATGGTTTTTAGTGAGTATTGGTACCTACATCTCCGGTAGAGACTCATAAACTAAAAAGCAAAAGTGTGTAAAAGCAATCTCTTTAATAAAAACAATAGTAGCAATGTCTACTGTCTATAATTTACGTGAGTAGTACACATTTAAATAAAACACTTTAACGGTTTAAAACGCGATATATTAGTTATACTTATTTGAAAATGATTTTTATCTTCGGCCCGACGCTTCGGATGCTTTGCAGCAGCCGTGGTGGTGGTGGCAGTCTCCCCGTGACCACAGCTGCTGCAAAGCATCCGAAACGTCGGGCCGAAGTTAAAAATCATTTTCAAATAAGTTTAACTAATATATCGCGTTTTAAACCGTTACAGTGTTTTATTTAAAAGCAATGTATGTCTAAAAAGTTATGGTATCAACCATCGCATCCAATATGTTCCTATAATAAATTATAAATTTTCTAAAGCAATCAAACACTTCGTTTGAAAAATCTACACATTAAATGGGTACCGAAGAACAGACCTCAATATCTATATTATTGCAAAAAAATAGATGAATAACTAATTAAATAAGTATTTAATCTCATACACTGCCTCAGACTAATCCTAACTTCAGTTCAAAAGTCAGTATTGCTTAGTCAGCAGCACAGACTCTTAAGAGAAAATACCTCCTATATAACTTAAGTACTAACTGGGTTTAAGATACATAAAAGCAATTACAACTGTATTTCTATATTGCTGGGTAACTTGCAAGGAAAGTATATTGTAGACAAACTATTGAACTCGCCAGTCATTACTTAGTGTAATATTTAAGAATAAAGTTTTAAGACAGTAAATAAAAGCTTTTCGAGGAAAAACTGTTATAGAGCCACTGTCTCGAACACTAACAAATTAAAAAAGGTAATTCAATTAATTTGGTCTCGGTAAATTTATTTCGAGATAATTTTTCAATTGTATATAAATTGGTAGCGTTTATGTAAATGTGAACACAAGAAATATTTGGATAATTTTAGCTTTTTATAAATAATAATTTAAAGATAAATCAACTAATTCTTGAATTATTGAAAAAATCGTAACTCTAACCTTACTGAGTAAGTGCTATTAAATTCATATGATTGTATTTAATGTCACAAACAGACAGATAAAATTTTAACGTACATACAACTATTGTCTGTAGTTATCGTGAGTAGTACATAACGAATTACGAGCAAATTTATTTTCAAACATTTTGTTGCTTTTAAAAATAATTTGACAATTATTTTAAAACTTTTACACCGTTATAAATGGTTTTATATCATAAACATGTTAACTCTACAATCTTATAAATTGTATAAAGATGCGGCGAAGTCTGCCGTGGAAAGTACTTCTTCAATACGAGTGCTTTAAAACAAAAGAAACCTTACATAGGTGTAGAAAAGAACTGGAATTAAAGTACGGACTGTACGTTCAAACAGAAGGTTTAAATGAAAAGTCCGTCGATTAGCAAGCTCAGTGCTTATATTGCAAAACTTTGAAAGAGCTGATAATATCGTCGCAGTTTCAGCTTCTTCTGTATTAGCAACCGTATCCACCTGTAGTAAATAAAAACAATTCTTTGTTTCAGAGCACGTGAGTGCTTTATTCTCTTGTTTTTTCCTGTAGCTTCATGTTAGCTTTGTTTATTTATAAAATTAAAGTCTGACCTAAGACAGTTCACTGATTTTGCAGAATTTCAACGAAGGCCAACTAAAATGGCCTCGCGTGAACCAACTTCGTTTTAATTCTTATTTCTGGTAATAAGCACATAATAAATATTACACAGTTACATAAAACACAAGTAAAAACTGCTATGCTAGCGCCATCTGTTCATAGATCACAGACACTTACATAGATCTTTAGTCTTCCCGTAACCAGGGCTGCTGAAACGTCGGGCCTTAGTTAAAATCATTTTCAAATAAGTTTAACTAATATACATCGCGTTTTAAAACGTTAAAGTATTTTATTTAAATGTGTACTATTTGCCGACACACACTCTTGATAATATTTAAGAAAACTAATATGTTCGTTTCTTATTACAGAAAAAT